AATGATCAAAGGATAACATTTTAATAAAAGAAGCAACCTACAAATGGTTCAACATCTGGAAAGTTCCCTATTTTAAGAAAATTGTTTTTTATTTTAATTTTAAAATTTCCACTCGTCATATTTGTTTAAAACATTTTATTTTGTGGGAATTTTTATTGTTTGTACAACTTGATTAAAATATATTATAAAATGTGTATATATCTGAGGCTTAATTATGATATAATTGAATTCTAGTTCCAGTTATAACCACTTCATTTTAAAAGCACAATGTAGAATTATAGTAAAGTCCACAATTTTTATAAGTTTCGTCTTACAGCGCTCTTAAAAAAAAGAAGAAGCTTATAATACTGATTTAAATTTCTTATAAAACCGTCGAGTCTGATCTCTCACTGTGCATGTTTTCGATGCGAAAGATTGGTGGGGGGTTCGGCGGGGGGTTTGTTTGTCTGAGACCGGCATTAGCGCAGCAGGTTGCCAATGTTGGCCATTGTTCCTTTCCGTGCCCGATCCTCCTCCATTTTTGTATTGCCATTATTTTTTTCGACGCTTTCGCCTTTGTCCCGTGGCAACATAATTGATTTGTGTCCTGGCAGGACCTCTCAAACGCTTTCCCCAGTCGCCTGTTGTTCAATTGCAGGAAACTTAAATGTGTATAGCATGCACGGATCCATGGGGGTAAAAATTGGGAGTAGATGTGGTATTCAAAAAGGCTGGAACATAATATTTTTTGAAACATACTGTATACTTAAGCTCAAACTGCATTGTGTAAAATGAATTGATAATTAATATTTACACATTTACATGTAATGCAAATTAAAATCGATACCTCTATCCTGTTATTAGGTGAGCTACAGTCCAGTCTACTGTTTAATGAGGTCGAAGGACCATAGTGAAAAACAATATGCCAAAATAATTAATTAATTAATGGAAAATTGTAACAATGAAGCATATTGTGCGTCTAATGCGTTTAAGGGGTTTTGCCTCAGAAAGCTATAACGTAAGGAAATCAAAACCCAATTATAATTGAATAACTTGCTTACCAGAGATTTGGGCAGTTAGTTACCAACAACATTTGTACCGAAATTCCCCCCACAAAAAAATCAAAGGCCTGCCACTGGAAATTCTACTTATATGTAGCTATGCGTCTTGCTCAATATGTGGACACATACAAATCATGGGGTTTGGCCAAGGCATTAGAAATATTTCACTTCGATTTGTAACTTTCTCGGCATTTGCTGTTTGTTCCGGCATTTGTCACCTTTTGAGCTTTTGGCCCGGGTTTGTTTTGTGATTAATCTCAATTTGCTGTTGCCACATCTTCTCATCTCCCGGATTGCTGGATGTTTACACTGACTTGGTGACGGGTCCTTTTAAGGGGATGGGAGATGGAAGGTGTTCATTTCACTTCGAGGAAGGCAAGAAAATCATTTGATGTAACTTAAACTTGTAGCGAAATGGAGGGATTACAGGGGGTAGAGTGAGAGAAAACAATCCTGAGATCTAAGGGAAAAGGTTCAACTCTTTGCTGGATCCAACATTCAATCCTTTAACAGGAAACAAAAGGACATGCTTTTTCGACGAAACCTATTGTGTTGGCACTGACCAGAGACAAAAGCCAACTGAAATCGCACGTTCCACTGGAGATCGGATTTTGCAAAAAACTATGAATATACCAAGCACGTGTAGAGTACTTTCAATAGGGATTCCATCTTTTGTGCGTTTCATAGTGGAATTTGCTAGAATTATTTTACGCAAAACACTGCATTCTATCTATTGCAGCAGCATGTAGGGTTCTAAGTTAATTATACGCTCTGTTGTTTGGTAACCTGAAACGCAAAGAGGCAAAAGTGATTATGGCCAGTGTCGCAATTGGGGGCCAAAGGCTGTCAGCGATGACAGGGAAAGTTGGCTGCCAGTTGGCCGGGTTGGGCTCGAATGGCGGTGGCGATAATGAGCGTTATGGCAACGAAAAGGAAAAGAACCCCGATGTCAGCAGCTGTTCGGCCAGTGATAAAAACAGCCCCACCTCTCGGAAAAGCTGAAAGTTACAGCAAAAGAAACCGAATCTAGTTATACAATCGAACTGTGTAATTAGATTTAGATATTAGCATATAAAATAGTAATAACGTAGGTGGTAAAAAATCAGACTTTTTCTTGGTCATATGCATATTAATTAATTAATTACTTATTATTAAAATGAATTAAATTAAGGCACTCTTTATATTCTGCTAAAAAGTATCCAATTACAGAAAATTACCCTAATAGACAACCAAACCTCAATAAAAACATACACACGCGCTAAAATCATAAAAATCAGTTCAGACAAAGCAAAACATTTCTGTTATGCAAATGTTACTAATCTAGTTATGCAACTTGCATTATTTTAAGCATTACTGCTGTTGTTTCGGTGGTTTGACTTTTTAATTACAGGTCATACGAGCGTTTTATGCATATGTACGTATTTTGCATTTACAGAATCAGAGAGGCAAAGCCAAAGCTTCGGGGCACAAATAATTCCAGCGGGCAAAGTTTAAAAACCAAACATTTGCCTTATAACAAAAGTTTTTTGTTTTCCCACCATTGTGGGAAAAGTCGTACCAGGTGTGAGGAGTTTTCCGAGGGGTGGGGGTTTTGTCCTGGGGGTGGCATTAAAGCTATAGCTATACGAACACCCTGGGTGGCCTTCCCACACACACACGTGAAAAAGAAAAGCTGCAGACGAGAGAACTGCTCCCATTTACGTTTCCTAGGAAAGTCGTAAAAGCGTACAAACGAAAGAAGCAAGAAATGTCGTTTCGCCCGCAGCCAGGCCAAGCCAAACAATACAATTTGTTACCAATTAAATGACTGCATTACATAATAATAACAATAACCGTAACAGCAACAACAATGCCAGCCACCTCCGCAATGTCCTTACATAGAGAAAAATTCTCTAGAATTCTCTAGAATTTAGTTCATAGAACTGCACTTTGCGTTACTAATTTGGTTTCGTAGAAGAGAAAACTCTTCTCCCTACCACATATTTAAAATGTTATTCTAGATAGTGGTAATTTTAGAATTTCACTAGGATTTAAGAGAATCACACCCTTCACAGGAAAAAGAGATACTTTTCAGATAGCTTTAGCTTCTAAGGAAAACGGTATTAACGGTATCTAATGGAAAGGATTGCGTTTCACGAATATAAATAGAACTACATATATAAATTACAAAAGTATGTGAAACCAGTTATATTTTTCTGACTGAGTCAAAATAAAAAAATAATAAAGGTGAATTTCTTGCTTCTAGTAGTATTAAAAAACCTACAAAAAACTTACAGCTTATTTTTGAAATGTCTATATAATTTAAAGCTCTTCTTATGTGAATTAAATAAGTTATTTTTTTCCCAGTGCACCCTCACAAACGCTCACATGATAGACAATATTCCAATGGCGTCAACGAAGCCAAGCAAATATGTGCGTTAGGATGTGCCAGTGTGTGTGTGTGTGTGTGTGCCAGCATCCGGCGTGTATTGGTTGTCAAAGTAACGGGAATCAATAGCTAGCGACAGGAGTGGGTGGTTTAGGGGTGGGGCAGGATGTCTTTATTAGGCAGCAAGGGCGACAAGAAAAACAAATTTGTATTACTTCATTATGGCGATGCTTTTGATTCGACTTTTTTGCCCACACATCTGCCACTCCACCCCCCGATTTCCGGTTTGCTTTGATTCCATAATTTGTTAAGGAATTTCCATAAATTGAATTTTTTCCCAAATTATATCACTAATGGAACGTGGAAGTTGAGCTGGAGCAATTAAAAATGAAATTCGGCTTCTTTGTATCAAAATATATAAATGTTTATTAGAATCCATACATGCATATATCCTATACGGATATACCTATATTCACGTTTAGTTATTCTCAATAATTATTATAATTATTGTATGAGTTTTGTTTGTTTGGTTTTGGCTTGCCTGCGTTTTTGTTTGTGGAGGGTACCAACTCGCTCAATTTAAGCCAATCAAATGGCAAACAGATTGCCTTACATGTTTGCATTGCAATATACAGTAGTTTCCCTTATTTGTTGAATATATTAATTAAATTTGCAGTTCGACCCTGGATGGCCTGTCGATTATTCACAAATTTGTTTGCACAATTATTTATTTGATTTAGAGAAATTCAAATTTTACTTACTCCCGTGTGGTTGTGTGTGTGATTGCGGTGTCTAAAAATATTCGCGAATAATAGGCAAATAATAAAACTAAAATCGTATCTTTGGCATTTTTTTATTCAAAATAAATTGATACCGTGTTGTTGTTATTGCTGTTTGCTCTATTACAAATTACAAAATGTAAATAATTCAGCGGCTGAGCTTATGCAAATACACAAATGAGTTAATTATACTTAGTTTAATAGGCAATTACGTAGCACTTGCGTGAACGTTTTTACACGACAAAATCAGCGTTCTCGTAAAGTAATTCAATATCCCATCATGCAATTATTGCTCTAACTTAGGGCCTGGACTTCCTATAGGTAGTATATACGTTCATATAAAATCAATGTTTACTCACTACGTATTAGTTCGATTTCAGGGAAGGGACGGTTGGTAGTGTAGTAAGTACTGCCCAACTAGCAGAGCTACAAACTAATGTATAGAATAATCCAAATGGGGAGCGTGTAAAAATCATTTAAAACTAGGTTCTACTTTAAGTAATCCATTTTCGTATAAATATTTGTGTGTGTGAGTTGTATTGTGTCTGGTGGATATGGTCTGTTGGTTTGTCTGTCTGTGGGAAGCACTTGTGGGCAATTAGGAATTTATTGGTATTTCAACGGCTGATACGCTTCGAGTTTCGTACCTAGATTATTGGCAGCTCTATTGTGGGTGTGATTGCTTCTTAAAATGTTAGGTAATCAAAGCTCCTCTCGACATGTCCTTCACCCGGCTCAATTGTAAAACTATTAAAATACGAAATTAAATTAGGAACCAATCGATTGCAAGTGCAAAGCCTGCTATTAGAGGTTCCCTAATCCTTTGATCGAAATAAGCAGCACAATGCCAGTTATAATCCTGGTCAATTTACAATAAACATGCAAACAATTCAGCTTAAGCAAATCAAGCTGAAAGTATTTAAAGCTGCCCAAAGTCCTGGCCAAGGACATGCCGTCCTTTCCTCTTAATTGGTACAAAGAGTTTTAAATGCTATGCTTAAAATGGGCTTGTGTATGTGTGTTTTTTTCAAGCTCTAATGCTTGCCTTCTAAACTCCTTTTGTGTCCTCGGGGATGTGTTTTTGTGTTCGCGTGGTTTACATATAAATTAGAGTACATACTAAATAAATAATATGCAGCATAGTTCATCGTTTTGTGTTAGTGATTCTCGTTAAGCTTAAGTGTGTGTGTGTATGTTTGCCAGTTGTTAGCACTTAAATCGTTCATTGATTGTTTCTCCGTTCTCGGCTAATACAAAATGTTATCCAAAAAACTCGATCGACTTGGCGAATACTTCTTGGTTGGGTTCGTTTCTACCCTCAATTCGAATACAATGTCCAAAGAAACCAATTTGCACTTGGATATATACAAAAGAGTTTGCTTAGTTGCATATAACTTGTGCCAAATCGGTTAAATATATATATATATATGTATATATCTATATAGATTGTGTGATTAATACGATGCGATTGTTATTATTGTTGCTGTTGCGTTGCTGCTGCTGCTGCTGCTCTTGACACTGATTTATGGCGACACATATGGCGGAGGTTTGCGGTAGGAGGGCGTTGCTGGCGACTTTCCCCGCACCTCCCGGCCACCCACGACCACCGATGGAGGTGGCACATAGTCATCCACATCGTTGTCACCTGAAGGAAGTTTAAGATAGGTATATATTTCTTGAAAAAAAGAGATATTTTTAGCCGCACCATTCATATTTGAGGTATTGTACGAAGGTGGCAGCAGCGGTGGCTTCTCGTCCTTCAGGATGACGGGACTCTTGTTGCCAATCTCGGGCTTCTCCTCGTACTCGTCCTGGAAGATGACGGGAATACCCTTGGCACGGAAGGATTTGCGCTCCTCTTCGTCGCCTAGAAAGTGGATAGAGAGTTCCATTATAATGGTGGTGACTAATTTCAAAAGACTCTCATCATACCTAGCTCCATTTTGCCGCTTCTATGACGACACCAGTGCAGGCAGCAGGCGATGATCGAGGCAATCACAATCATCACGATAATAATGACGATGGGCAGTACGAAGGTGATCATGTAATCCTCGCCGAAAGATGACTTGTGGGCCGGCTCCTCGGGGCGACTGGGTATGTAGTCCAGCTGGTTGGTGTCAATGTTCTCGGGATCTACAGAAAATAGGTAATATTAAGATAGGAATCTTTAAATTACTAGGAAATCCTTACGGTGACAACTGCTAAAGGGAACCACCGAAAAGTTGGTCATATTCAGCTCGGGACCCAAAGCCCGTTTGGCTGCCTCCCTCAAACTGTGATCGCTGTTCAGATAGATGCTCCTGATGGCGGCCACCTCCTTCTCCCTGCAGCTGTTGTGCTTCTTGTACAGCGTTGTATTGTAGAAGTTGACTATAGTGCCATCGGAGTCATGATGCGTGGTTATGGAGCGAATCTGGATCTGGCCAGTGGTGGCATCGCCATTCAGCTTCGCCACGCGCTCCACAAACTTTCGCTGCAGCTCGGCATTGAAACGCTCGTGCTTGATGGACAGGTAGGCCTTGAAGAAGAAGCCAAACTCTCGCTTGGGAGCGGGACTAACCACGACGACCAGGGCATCGTGGGCACTCAGGCCACCGCTGTCCTCGGCCACCAGCAGATACTCCTCGGAGCCAATGTCGCCGCTCTTCGGGATGCCGAAGAACTCCTCGTTCTTCGAGTCGAACTGCAGCCAGTGGCGTGGGCTCAGCTCCAGGTGATCCCGGGTCTTCAGGGTGAGCGTCAGCTGGTTGTCATTCGCATCGTAGAACGTATCCGCCGGCACTTTGTAGACTAGCAGCTGGCCCAAGCTGGCGTTCACTCGATCCACCTGGTTGCGCGGCATGGGCGGCACATTCTTGGCCATGTGCTGCGTCGGTTTCACCTGGGTCAGATCCTTCTGGCAGGAACCGATCAACTGTCCGGTTATGGACTTGATTCCCAACTGCGGCTGCACCAGGTCACTCAGTCGCTGGGCATCCAGCCGCAGCACAATATCATTCAATTCCTTCTCGGGACACTCACTAGTCGGCAGCGTCTCGTTGAAGTAGACAAAGGTTGCGCTGTGCGGATCGTGCGGCGTCTGCCGGATTTCGCGCACCACCACCGCCGAGTTGGAGGAGTCATCCAGGGTCCTGGCGACCGCATTGATCAGCCTCAGCTGCCAGTCGATGTTGTGGCCCAGCTTCTCGTTGATGCGCACAACCACACTGATCTCATGGTTGATGGTCCTCACAGCCCGATGCTGCTGCACGCTGATCTCCACTGTTTCGGTGACGCTGGAGTTGCCCGAATCCGTGGCAGACAAACGATACTGCCAACGGGAGACGGTGTCATCCAGGGGACTAGAATTTAGGATTTATAAGTCACAATCTTTATAGATTTATCATCATATTCTTACAGTCCATAGAGCTCCCTTTTGTCGGCGTTGAACTGCAGCCAGGAGTTGGCCTTCAACTCATGCCCATCCTTGTCGGTTAGCGCCAGGCGGAGATTGCCCTGATCCTCGGCATCGTAGAAGGTGTCGGGGAGAATGTGGAAGGTGAAGGCCTTGCCCGAGGTGACCGCCAGCTTCTGCAGTCGCGTCTTGATGATGGGCGGAGTGTTCTCCTCGGTCTGCGGCTCCACGTAGTCGGTGGAGACGAAGGTGCTGCTGCTACTCGACTCGGGAGTAGAGGCTGTGGTGGTGGCTAGAGAGGAAGTGGGCGTGGCAGGCGTCGACAGCTGGTAAAGGAGAATTTAATACTATTATTGCAGACTTGTTGCCAGGGGAATATGGCTTATTTTACCTCATTATTGGCAAGGCTATTGTTGCTGCTGCTGCTGATGGCATCGGGCTCTCCTTCCTGGGGAAAACAGGGGAAATCATTAACAATGAGATGGCTAATTGGCGACAGATGGCTGGCTAAGTGTCATGCTGCAAAGTCGTCGGCTAAGGAGGCAGGCAGAGTGAGTGTGTTAGAGTGTCGGTGTTAGTTTTAGTTAGTTAGTACAACCAATACGAATACGAATACCATAGTGAACATGCAATTACCAAAGGACCAAGGACCTCATGCAGGAGCTCTGGTTCGTTAATTGCCTGCCCTTACATGCTAAGTGCATTTGGCTGGAAGCAATTACCCCTAATTGGATTCGGGATAAACGGTGAGACAATTGGGGTTTATAATTGCAGAGAGAGAGAACCGGAGTTATATAGTAGGGGGATTTCAAGAGCGGGTAAAGTGGAGGTGCAAATCTATGGCTTAAGATCTAAATTGCGATTTTCAGTTTAAATTTCAATTGCGATTGCGAGATTTCACCTTAGAGCTAATAGTGCTGTGCGTTGTGGACTCTACATGAAATTCGCTTTCGCCTGCTGTTGTTGCAGTTGCAGTTGTTGCTGTTGCGGTTGCTGCTGTTGCAGTTGCAGTTGGTGTTGCAGCCTCAAAATCGTCGAAGGGCAGCAGGGTGCTCAGATCGAGCTCAGTATTCGGCTGCATTTGGTGTTTAATGGGTAACAAAAATGAGTAGGGTTTCTCAAGGGGTCAAAAAGTTGGGGAGTTCCTAAGCTACCCAAACCCTAACTGTCTATCATACTATTACAGTTACTCTTTTATCTTAAGTTACAAACATGTTATACAATTTTAGGATATATCCTCCACTACCTGCAGCTATAAAAAACTATGTACACTTATCTTTACAACTATTTGCTATCTAGTCAGCTAACATTTATGTTTAATACCAGCCAACTCCACTGAAATCTTTTATGGAGATGCCATAAATATCCAGTCATTTTGTGAAGTTCAGGATTCAGGATACGCTACATTTACACAGGACAAAGGCAATAAAACACAATATCATTGAAAAAGAGATACTATATGTAAGCTAAACTAACTCCTGACATAAAGCGCAAGAAATGGAGGTGGAAGAGAATGTTTTACATGTGACAACGAAAGGGACGCAAGGACATGAGGCACGCACACACAGATAACGGCGAGGCAAAAGGACACTCGTTCATATACAGACACACACAGAAGCGACATCATTACCTTTGGCGATTCAGAGAGTGTTGTTGTTGTTGTTGATGTTGTTGTTGCTGTTGATGTTGCTGTTGTAGTTGAGATTGTTGCTGTTGTGCTTGTTGAAAGTGATGATGATGACGATGATGTTGTTGTTGGCTGAGTGGCTTGTGATGGAGATGTGGATGAGGACGAAGGTGACGAGGATGAGGATGAAGTGCTGTCTTGCTCAGTGGGCATGTCGGTGGACAAGGAGGCGTTTGGGGGCGGATGAGGGGGCGGCACCGAAGACGAATCTTCTCCAGCTTCAATGGTTGAGACGGACGAAGACGACGACGACGACGACGAGGACACCGAAGAGGTGGCATCATAGGGTGAGAATGGCTTCTGTGTTTCGGGGGCGGACACCGCAGCGGTGGGCGTGGCCGAGGAGTCCACCTGATTTGCGCTCACCTCCGAATAACCGGGCTTTACCATTTCCGTGGCTCTCGTCGCAACTTCCTCCGGTAGAATCATTGGAACTACCAACTGCTGCAGCTCCACTTCCTCCTCATCTTCACCATCATTGTCAGGATCTCCCAGGACAGGCAGCTCCTTGATGTTCTTCGTATTCTCAATCGTCTTGCTGATCACGGACTCCAGCTTGGAGACACTCTCCTCGATCTCCTCCTCCACATTCGGAATCAGGGGAACCGCCGACGAGGTGATGGGAGAATCGGGCAAACCCTCCGACTTTTGGGTTAGTCACAGTGAATGATTCGAGTTGGTTGGTTGGTTAGTTTTCGAGGCGATTTCGAATTGGTTTTACAATATTTTACAATATTTTCGGTTGATAACATTAACACAATGAGATCGATATACACAGACAGAGTGAGAGAACGAGAGGAAGATAGCAAAAAGAGAAGAAAAAACGTAAACACCGTATGATGAATTATAGTTATTTTCAGTGTACATATGTGGGTGTATTTTTTTTTTCTGTGTGTGTTCAGATGCAGTTGTGTGGTGTGGTTTTGGTTTGCGGTTATTAACAAAGTGCAGTAAAAAAACAAACAGAACCAAAGGCTTCCGGAAATCAAAAGTAATTCCAACGCGATCCATACAGATCCATACACGTAATACATACAGATGTCAGCGTGTGTGGTTATGAACCGCAGGTATTCTCGTTTGAACGTATGTATCAGTATATCATGATAAAGAAAACACCCAGAGAAACCGAAACGAATATGGTGAAAGGGAGCCAAAATGGCTATAGCACTCACCGCTCCGTGATGATGTCGATGGGCATGGGTGGTCACCGGTGGAACTTCCGTGGGGGGCTCACTGCTTCAGTTCATGGAAAAAAAAATGCGAAAGAGTTCCGGAATTACCAATGTGTCACGTTCAGGTGAATTCTTAATACTCACGACACTTCCTCGTCGTCCTCTCCGTAGTCGTAGTCATCATCACCAGCTCCGGAACCCTCCGACTGACGTCGCTTGCGGTTTGATCTGGAGGTAAAGGAACGATTAGCTATCGGGTTTTACAACAAAGTAAAGTATTCTCGGAATTCTATATCTTATGGGTTCGATGATGTGTTCTTTATATATAAGCTTATTTATTTGCCCACCTTGATTTCAATTCCTTTCGCCAAATAAACCAAAGTCCAAAGTTCTCTTCCGTCAAAGCGCCAATTGTGCCATCCTTCATTTGGTGTGGAATCTGCTTGGCAATCGGCTCACCCATCACAAAGTAGCTTGAACCACAGCCGATCTGCCGAAGGATGGTAATTAATAAATATTTTATAAATTTATTAAGTTAAATACAATACTAACCATGAAACTGGCGCGTCCTAGTCGTCTATTAAGGGTCTCGATATTCTTGTTGCCCTTGCCTCCCTTTCGCATGGCCAACTTGTGCATGGATTTCAATTCCCGCTTGGCCACAGAATCCAAAGAAATAAATTCCTTTAAACAGCAAAATATTAGTATTTCCTTAAAAAAAACTCTTTTATTTGCCAACTCACCTTCGGTATGGCAAAGAACTTGGCCAATTTGGCTTGGACATGAGCTCGCTTTGTGGCAGTGAGCTCACTCCAGTCGTGTTTTTTTAATAAAAGCGATAGCACAATCTCGCTTTGAGTATTTTGGCAGCTCATCAACTCCGTGACATACGGATCCTGTTTGTAGGCGGGCACATCCTTTGGCTCAATTACAGGAACCTTGAAAAAATAAATGGGAGAGAGTTATTTATGTTTGTCTAGAGCCTTTATTTTTAAAGATTTTATAAAAGTGTAAATAAAATTTGGTTTCGATTATACAGCTCTCTCACTTCTCCTCTCTCCTTTTCTTATCTCTCTTAGTTTAAGTCAACTTATTTTCTCCCTCCACCAAGGCGGCGTCGGTGGTGTAATGGTCAGCATAGTTGCCTTCCAAGCAGTTGATCCGGGTTCGATTCCCGGCCGACGCACAAGTAAATTTTTTTTTTTTTTAATTTTTATTTTTAATTCTTTATTTGTAGATTTAGGGCCGGTTTCTCGAGTGCCGGCTAACATTTTTCGATCAGATAAAGTCCCTGCTAAGGCATTTTGGCTTTCTCGAGCACCAATGTGAGAGCTAACTTTGACAGGGACTCGGAGTCCCTGTTAGGCGTATTCGGCTCGATAGAATGACAGCTGATTTCCCAAAGCCAACTAAGAAATCACAGCTGACTTTTCCCTTGAAATAAACCCAAACAGCTAATGAAATAATCGAAGCACGCCATTTTTTGCGCTTCACAGCATAATTCTGTGCGTTAACAGCACTCTGTAATTGTTTCTCGTTCAGATAAATGAAAGCAGTCGAGAAAGCCGATTTGCTTTTACGAACAGTTTATCTGGTATTTAAGTTTTTCGAACAGATAGCTATCAGGGACTTTGACAGGGACTCGAGAAACCGGCCCTTAGCATTCCGATTTGTTGAGTTTTTAGCTGAGTAACGGGTATCTAATAGTCGAAATACTCGTCTAAAGCTTTCTGCCTTACTTGTACTGTATTTTTATCAAATTCATTCATACTATATTGCTTTAAGCTATAAGAAATCTTTTTTGGCTAGACGACAACTATTTATGTTCCTTATCGCGCTAGCAATCTTATCTTGCGATTGGCGACTTTGTAGTTCATCAATCAAAACAATCGAAATATCCAGTTTCGAGGGAGACCAATTTGATTTAAGCTGACCCACATGGAAAGGCACATTACTCACCTGAGAGTCGTTGACATTGAAGTCCCGCTCGGCGAGAACCAGAGCGACGATGGTCAGGAGAAGGAGGAGCAGGTTCCCACTGACCACCGATAAGCAACGCGGCAATCTCATGTTCGATTCCGTCCGCGATATGTGTCGTTATGGTATAAATATGAGTCCAAAGAATGCAGTTTCGATTTCAGTCCGACGTCCACAGAAATACAAAACGGCAGTCGTGGGTTTTTTTTTTTTTTGGTTTTCGGTTTCTGGTTCGGTTTTAGTTAGAGTTTCCCAGCTGGGATTTCGCTTTCGTTTGGAGAGAGAAGAGAAAGGGGATGTGGCGATGCGGCTTTTACATCATCTTCTTCGTTAGCAGCGCCTTCGTCGTCATCGCCTTCACCATCTGCAAGTGGAATTTATGGGAAAAATTATTAGACATATTTTATGGCGCAAGGTCTCTGGGAGGAGGGTGCTATCATATACATGGCCTATGCTAATTAATTGTCGGCTGGGTTCGGTGACCCAAAACCCAATTTGAGCTTCGAGCATTTGTGTTTATGTTGCTGCAACTTTTCCTCCACAGAGTAATTAACATAAACAACTGTTAAGTGTTGTTGTTTTTCCTGTATTTGAGGGGAAAATTAACGCTTGATTAACGTGATGCACATGATCTTTTTGGTAATTGGAGAGACACCGCCGACGAAAGCGATGGAAAATGGAAAGTGCGACGACTCGAAAGGGGCATTTAATTAAAGCCGTTTTTCAGATCCATTGATAAGTGAAAGAGGAAAAATGAAGGGGAGACAATTGTTATTTGATTGAGAATTATATAGCCTAATTTTGAATTTCTGAATTATTTATGGAATTATTATACAAGCTTCCCCTTCAATTATCCCCCATAGAACAATGCGTCTCTGTTCAGAAGTGAACATCGAATTCGAATCAGTATTCCCCTTTCATGTCGGTCCACTTCATGGAGTAATTCCCATAAATTTGTTAATCCCTCATTGAACATGCATCCCCATCTACGATTTCCATTTTCCCAAAGCTTCTCGGCTTATCGTCGGCTTCTATTTATAGCCCTTCGACCACTCCCCCGAAATAGCTCTTCGATAATCATTCAACGCAGGCATTATCGCCGTACAACCCCCAGCCCATCGTTTCTGCCCGGGTTAAATGAGGCGACCATGTGTCGGGGACAAAAATTGGAGCAACACATTGCACAATTGGCAGCATTCCGTCCGAAATGGGGTTAACGTTTGTGACTTGCAATAAAAGTGCAGCGGAAAATGGAGTGCATGGGAATGCCTTAATTGAGGCATTAAAAATGTGCGTTGCATCGGGGGATCGTCGCTGGAAATCGATATCAAAGGAATGGAATGCCTTCTTCACACACCGTCTACTACTGTCTACCGACTACAGAGTTATTGAATGCCCATAAGTAATGGAAAATATAATTGCTTATGCATGCGCAACTAAAATATCATTTGTTTTTCCATCGACTCGTATTTGTGTTGCCTGCTTTCTAGTTAAATTTAATTGAAGACCTCCGTCCGTGGAGACCCAGCTGGAATAGCAAATGAGAAATGGGAAAAGGAGGAGCTGGAGGAGGAGGAGCCCAAGTGTCAGGCGGCAATATGCCACCGATACAGACGGTTCTTCTCCCTGCAAACACATATATGCGACATCGTATATGAACTTAAAATGCAGCCAAGCATGCCGGGGCCATCAGTCGTTCGTTATACCCCGTGAACACCCCGTACCCCTTACCCCTTACCCCCTACTCCGAATATCCCCTACTTTTTCCACTGCTCTTTGGCATGAATGAGAATGAGGCTTTGCTGGGTATGCAAATGAATTAGCATTGCGCCAAATGCAAAAACCAAAGAACCAGAGGCGTAGTGGGTGCCGGAGAAATGAGAGATCATAACTTAGCAGGCAGTACAGCATGGTGTATGGTATAGTATGAAAAACAAGTTTCTCTCTTGTTTCACTTTGCTGAATGCATCGGCTCAGATAAGAGTTGGGATCCACTGAAATAGCCAGTGGTTCACTGGTGGGGTTGAGGGTCGGGTCAGCACATAAATCGAGCCGACACAAAGGCCAACTAATAAAGGTACAAGAACAATATAGAAAAGAGCCATAATGATGACGAGGTTGAAGCTGTGGTGGATAATAATGCACTGGGGCAAAAAGCGTGTCTGATGCAATCTCAACATCCGTTTTAAAATTAAAAAATCGGAAGAAAAAAACTAAACGTTATCAATGCTCAGGCTTTGATTAAGACATAAATAAAATTGTTTGTTTTAACCTTGAAGTGTCTTTCATAAAAACTGAAAGTTTATTTACGATGCAAGCAATAGTCAATAAAAAGAATCTATTACTAATAATACAAAAGCAAAGTTGAGAATGATATTAATTTAATGTTTAAAATATCGACACTAGACTTGGTGTTAGTTTAAATAACATAACATGTTGCCATGACTTTTAAATGAAACCAATACAAAGTCGAAATTAAAGCAAGTGTCATAAGGCCATCAGCTTCATGAATTAAAGAATATGAGTCACTTAAAATGTGTTATTTTCGGATTCGTTAAAATAATTTTATAAGAATACAAAATTTTAGCCTTAAGATCGTTCCATATTATAAAACCTAATTTCTAAAACTGGTTTATTACTCTTCGTAACCCTTTTTCCCAGTGTAAAGCCACCGCCCACGCATCGAAGGCTTTCAAGTGGGCAGACTTTTATATATCGCCGTCATTGTTGTGGCATTAATGTGATTAGAGAAGAGGCCTACATTTAGAGCCGGCACTTTGCGATGCCCTCTCCTATCGCCGTATTTCTACCACTCGTTTCCGCTCTGCTCTTCCCGCGGGCAATTAATTATCTCAGTTCTGAGAGGTTGCCCCCAGCTCGGTTCAGTTCAATTAGCCTTGGTTAACACACACACGCTCGTGTTTACACACACACACTAGGTGGCATCCACTGCTGCATCATCTTCTTCTTCTTCTTCGTTTAACTACGTGACACAAAAGATGTTGATTCTGCAGCGGCGGCAACTGCAACAAAGAAATTCTTTCTTTCATCACAGAATGCAGCGACCGCATAAACAAATTTATTTCCATTTTCACTGCACCCAGACGCATTACTCACTGAAGCCCAAGCTCTGCGTAATTATTTGGTGACCCAAAACTTTTTAGGGTTTTTTATTTGGCACTGAAGCCATACCAGAACTTTAACATATGCAGATGTTAAATTTTGTATTCCTTAACTTTAGTTTTGGAGTACTCATAACTAACTCTGCTCTTATGTGAAATTATTTGGTGACCCAAACTTTTAAGGGTTTTCTTTTGCCCCTGAAGCCAAATTGCAGATGTTTCATTCTGTTATCCTTAACTTTAGTATTTCGAGTACTTATAACTTCGGCTTAGGACACGGTTCTTTTAATGATAAGTTTTTCCTTATCTAAAAGTAGTGCTAAAAAGTGCCTCTGAATAAAATAATATACAATAATTTTATCTTTTGTCTATTAACCATTCGAATACATTGTAGTATAAAGTTTATTTTATCTTTCTGTATAAAGAAATATTTATAATAGTTACTATCAAAGCTATTTTACATATATTTCCGCCGCATTGAACATTCAAGTGATAAGATTCTTTGAATCAAGTCATATATTGAACTTTGCTGACTCATAACAAAAACCGGCTTTTTTGATTCTTACAACCCATACAGTTTTTATGTTCATATATGGAACAATAAGAGTATTTCATCTTCAATTAGCTTTCAATGTTGTCTTCTGTGTGTTTTCTTCTTTCATGTATTAATTCGGTTGGATTTCTTGTGAAATAATAAACCACAATTGTTCCATCTGTGTGGCTTTCCTTGCTTTCTTTCTTTCCTTTGCCAGCAGTTCAAGGCACCCCTTCGGTCCGCCCAAAAAGGGGAACCCCCTTCGGGGCAGCTTTAATTAATTTGATTCGCCGCACTGGGCGCACAATTCCGACGATGAAAAGCGATGATGAAGTCTTGTGGGATGGGGATGCCATGGAGATGGAGATGGTAGTGGCCAGCATTGGACTAATGGATTGTTTGCCGCTTGTATTTTGTTTACGATGCTGCCCGATTGAAAAATTCAAAATTGTTATACACACAATATACACACACGAGTACGAATTTTCAGTATGTACACATGTTCGCCGGCGTTTGACCCACAATCTTGTCGTTGGAAATAGTCTTATTGAAATATGCTTTGTTGCACGCATAGTCAGTGAACTGGAAACTGAAAATTCGGTTTGTGGTTGGGGTAGCACAAAAAACCGAACTCTATACAGTGGAAAGCAGGCCGTGCAATTACCAAAAATAGCCCAAAGTCTCTCGACTCTCCTCAATCATCGCCACGCATTGGCTCCGAGTTTTTGGGTCCGGCCCAATGGAATCCAATGCAATGGGATATCTGGGCTGGTCACGAAAGGCGTGTCGCATTCTGGTTTCCAGAAAAACAACAAAAATCCAACACTCAAAACGAACAGTAAGGAAAATACATTTTATAATGACTTCAGCAAAAAGTTTTGAGTCCAAACGAGGGAAATCCAAATGAAAAGCAAAACGATCCATCAAATTAAAACTGTTCCATACATTGTTTATTGTTTCCTTCTTTTTATGGATAAACGAAACTATTCAAAGCTGTAAGACTTTTTCTTTATAATTTTATTAATCATTGTTATTTATATGCATTTTATTTATTATTATTAACTTCTTTATTATTTAATATATACTTCAAAATTTGCTTGAAATTAGATCAGACTTAATTTTTAGATTCTTAAACATCTCGTGAGCCTCCCGAATTCTAAAAATCAATTATCGTAAAGGGGGACGCCAGATAAAAACGAAACGATCTCTTTAAAAAACATTTTCCGAAAAGTTGTTTGTTGTTTCTTTGAATTCATTGATAAACCAAACCAGCTGGAACTTGAAAATCATTTAATTTAAAGCAATTTGAAGGGAATTTTGTAGCTCATAAGCTTAGAAGCTGTTGGGAAATGATTAAATGAATAGACTTTATAGCGTTATCTACGCATATTCTTCCATTTGTTTATCTTTATATTATGACTCAATTTTTCCAAAATCTGAAAACCTCTACTGATCTTTTAGCGCATAACTATACCTAGAATCTCCACAGTTCTGAAAACCCATCTATCCGATTTCCCAACTACATATCTCAAAATGCCCTGTGATGTCATGCGTCGTAGATCTTATGACTTAATTCTCCAGTCTTCTTTATGCGTTTCTTCTGTGTACACAACAGCAGACTGAAGAATGAGCTAGAAGTGCGACACATGGTGAGCATTAGCATGGCTTTCGTTTCTCAGATAGGGCTACTGTCCCCAAGGCGAATGATATGATAACAGACGGCTGATATGCATATCCGATAAGTGGGACCGACTTTCGGTATGAGCCGAAAAACGAGAAAATCATTAAGGTGGCCGGGGCAACTGATGAGGTGTAACCCAATTTCCGGCGCATTGCCCAAGAGCCCAATGATCCGTGGAAAGCGGGCCCAAAAAAGGTGTTAAGCCGATTCGAAATCCCAGCTACGTGATGCACTGGGGGGCAGTAAAAAAAAGCACAGAGAAAATTAAAAGGGGGTTGCCATAGTTGCAGTGGCAGCCGTTGACACAGATGCGCCCATATATATCGGTAATTCATAGAGTTTAATTGAGTGTAATTAGGCTATGACGATGATGAAGACCAATTTGGTGATATGCATAATTGAAGTGGGTTGTGTGTAGTTTGTGGACTGCAGCGGGCGAATAACCGATTGCAATCCGATTTCCAATTAAGACAAACAAACCATGACAAAATGTCGGCTAAATTGGATAACAACTAAATGCGAAACAAAGTTGGAGTAATTGTGGTCTAATGTAATTTGATTAGAAATCACGCGGCAATTATCGCTTGAGCGAAACTGGAGAAGTTCCCAGAAGTCAGGGCCCAAAGAATCGGAGGTGGAGAATTTCCAAGGGAGCACCTTGAGGTTCGGGGCATTGCTCCACTCCCCAGTACTTTGCACCACACTGGGGAAAAACTAATAAACCCATTTACTTGCTTTATTATGAATGGAAAAATTATTCCTAATTTCAGAATTTCTATTGATGATTCAAAGACGAAAACTTTTTATTCTTATCACAGGAAATGGGAGGTCAAAAGTAGATTATACATAGCAACAGAAAGACTCTTAACTATTCGCTTTCAAGAACACGAAAAGTCCAAAATTACTTATCTGAATTTTTATTTGCTCTGAATTTCTTTTATAAGTGTCATAATTGTATTAATCTTAAAGAATAAGAAAATTCATTTTTAAATGGAGTTAAACTACAATATTTGGTAATAATTTAGACGGAGAACTGCGCAATCTATATTTCTTATGTCATAAAAAATTTAAAAATCAATTTTACAATTTGTAACTTAGATATATTTTCAGTGTATCGTGTTGTGGAGTCACAGCGAAAATATTTTTTGCGTGGGGCCAATGTCTGGTACTAATACTTGATACTTGGGGACTTGAGGTCTTTGAGGCAGGGCGCCTGAAGAGTGGGCGGGGGAAGCAGGAGGGCTGGGCAGACGCCATTTTGGCCAAATGGCGGCGGCGTTGGAGTTGCAGCCTTTGTTGTTGTTGTTGTTGCTTTTTCCCAACAGGAAAGCCATGTGCGGAGTTGGCGATCAAATGCTCCAAGATCTCTTGCATGCATAATGATGCCGTCTGTTGTATTTCTGCCTGCTGTCGCCGATGTTTCGTTAAATTGTGTGTGTGCTTACAGTAAGAACAACAACAACAATAATAAAAAAACAAGAGAGAACGCTATAGTCGGGTTGTTGTCCCGACTATCTAATACCCGTCACTCAGCTAAAGGGAGTGCGAGGGAGATAGATATATAATTTTTGATTGCGTATAACTTTTTAATGAATGGTCCGATTTGAAAAATGTCTTCTACATTTCGATAGGAATAAATATACACAACAAAATTGCATTTATACTTCTCGGAAATCTTTAAAGATGTGGGCGCAGGACCCATTTTAAAATCGTTAGTGGGCGATTGTGGGCGTTAGAGAGGGCGTGGCGCTCGGCTAAAATAAACTTGCGCTGCGTAGGAAGCCAAAGAATATGTGTGGGAAATCTCAACCTTCTAGCTTTTGTAGTTTCTGAGATCCCAGCGTTCATACAGACGGACAGACGGACAGACGGACAGACGGACAGACAGACAGACGGACAGACGGACATGGCTAGATCGACTCGGCTAGTGACCCTGATCAAGAATATATATACTTTATGGGGTCGGAAACGCTTCCTTCTAGCTGTTACATACTTTTGCACGAATCTAGTATACCCTTTTACTCTACGAGTAACGGGTATAACAACAACGTAAGCAAATGCTAAAAACAAACATAAAAACAACGCAATGCCGTAAAGTTCAAACCAGCAACACACACACTGTGGCACTTAGTTACTCTCACATACAAAGGCGTTGATGAAGACGACAGCAGATACAAAAGCAACAACAAAAACAACAACAGCGATCCAGTGCCGGCTGGTTGGAGAATTGGACAGCTGCCTCCATGATAGATACGATACTCGTATTCCCGCTGGCCTGGCCCAAGTATTTTTGTACTTTAACGGGCCATCGAGAAGCAAAGCAAAGCAAAAAAGAACATCTATAGGGAGACAAACAACGAAGTTTCTATACCCTGGACTTGTAGAAAACGCGTATACTTAATATTTTTAATATACTAAAACTACTATTTAAGATGAAAGTCCCTTTGCGAACCAAGCTGATTAATACATGTTTAAATTTTTTTAAATACGATCTTGATTTTGGAAACCCCATTCATCTATACAAAGTAAGATGGTTAAAACAACGATACATTTTTCTATATTCTGTATTGTCTAGAATTTAGACTCTAGATGTTATCGAAAGGGTCTTGGAAAAAAAATAAAAGAGAAGGAAAGTCTCCTTGACTGGAAACCGAAAGACTGGCCAACTTTCAGATGCTTCACACAAACAGACATTCTTATAATTAGTGGAAAAAGCGGGCGAGAAAGGGTCTGCACTTGACACGCAACCCGGGAAATGAACGCTCACTCCCACACAAGCGCCCAGAGGACCGTAAGACCCCCTCCCCCCACCAAAAACGACCGCCCTCATCGTTAGGACGGCAACAAATTGACGCAATCTGATTAAAAACGCATCAAAATAAAGCTAACTGGTGGCCAAGGGAAATGGGGTAAGGAACAACAACCTATGCTAAATGCTCGTAAAAGTAATTTTGTTGGCCCACACACACACACACACGCGAACCGCCACTCTCAAACATTCACTCACTCACACAGAGACACACAATTTAGGGGTGCTGGCGGAAGTGAAAAGGAAACATCTAGTCCTCTTAGAACAGCCGTCGTCCCCTTTTTGCGTACGAAGCATCCGCCAAAGAGTGCCAAAAACTGAGTGGTAATGCCGGGGATTTTCTACAGTGAACACTCGCTAGTAGACAAAGTTCAGTAGGACAGAAAAAACAGCTGTCAAAAAAAATTTGTAGAAATGTATACATAGTTTTATGAATTAATATTTATTTATTAAATGCTTTTTTTTATAAATGTACAAGAAGCACTTCTTTATTGCTGACCTATTTATTTTTAAGAGCTATTTTGGACATCACTTTTTAATATTCTGCTTTGAATTTGTAGGTTAGTCAAAGGACAATGCCAAATGATACAACCAAAAAAAAATCTAGATCGAGCTTACATTATTTAAGATCAATTTTAATTTGATATGCGTACAGGTAAATTTGAACTGGTCGAAAAGAGTATTTCATGTAAAAATTATATGGGTTTTGCATGATTTAAATTTTTTATCTCCATATTGATTTTACGGGAACATCCTTTTTTGTGTGTACAAAGTAGAAAACAAAATAAAAATAATTGCGTTTTCTAAATGCTTATTAAACGTCTATCAAAGGTGGAGTTTTTTGTATCAATCGTAGTTTTCTTCCGGTAAGAATATAAAACCGCATTCGGTGATCCCATTTCCAGGTTCCACTGTCCTGGAATATTGGTGCCGTGCATGACCGAAAATCACAGTGCGGGCGGAAACTGAGTGCCGTCATCAAAATACGCACACACACTGATGGAAGCACACGGGGCAAAGGAAAGAGAAAGATAGAAAGGGGCAGACAGATGAAGTCAGAACCGGGAGGGAGAAAAAGAGGATGAGGAGGAGAGGGCACAGTGACAGCTGCCCCATTCGCGTCCGGAAAAAGTGGCCGCTAAAATCATTTGTTAAGTGCGGTGGCCATGACAACTGGCCCAAAAGTCGGGAGTCGGGAGTCCTGGTCAGATTTTCAATTTTTCCATCTCTCTCCGAAGAGAAGCACACACATATGCGAGTATTTCCATCATCATCAACACCAGCAAACAAAACAAGAACAACAACCGTGTGCAGCCCCCCTTTTCTACACTGTACAAAAAATCATAGGGTTGATATAAAATCTAAATTCGATGATTAAATGGAGTTTTAACTTTTGGTTAATGAAAATGGTCTAAAGGTCCAAAAGGAAAAGCATCTGTTTTTGGTAGCAAAAGACTGGGCTAAATTCCCACCCCTATTTAAATAACTGTTATATTTTTTCAGCTAAATAAATATGTACACAAGTATAAATTTTAAATTCAAATATCAAATTGAAATGTTCTCGTTTTAACATTTTGTACTTATTTATTTTCTAACCGAACTTCAGATCCTATCATATCCCATCAGTTTTTCTTTCTGTGCAACCATTCCGCTTCCGTGTTTCGAAATTCAATTTATGTATACTTTATGGTGCCGCAGCCGGCTCCCCAAGCTCCATTTCGCCCCCCAGTTTTGCCCAGTGAGGCGGAGAAAATTGTAAGTTCAGGAAAATCGATTTTCTTTTTGTATTTGTTGCCGTTTTTTTCGGCTGGCGGTAGACAGGGCTAATTGGTGTTCTTTTTCTCTGCTCCGAATTGCATGTTGCAGTTGCAGTTTCACTCACCTCAGTTACGCTATTTCTGATGCTCCGGATTCGGGGGATTCGGAATGGGATTCTCCTGCCCCACTTCCCTTCCTTTTGGCCAAGGAAATTGCGTCCAGAGAGCGACACTCACACGCACACACTCACGCACAGGCACACACAACTGCAGCAATGTTTCTCTTCAATTGCAGGGCTCTTTATTCTATTTTCACACCTTCACTCGCGATTCTCACGCACTTTTTTCAGTGAGCTTTTCCTTTGAGATACAAATGCGTGGAGTATTTGTGCTTCACATGCTGCCTGTTTTTCGAACTGCTTTTCACTTTTTTTGCAGTTGAATGGGGAGCAGAAAACAAACGCAGCACCGAGTTTTGGTTGGTTGGACAGTGTGACCGCGACTGTGCACTCGAAATAATCCGCAGCGGAAAATATACCGAAACGTATCTTTCGGATTCACTCGCAACAGCTGCGCTGCAACAACAATCGTAGATAGCTAGAGATGGTAGTTCGATATCTAACGATTTAACATACGGTTTTTTATTTTAATAAATCTAAATCCATTTTACTTTAAAGTTTTCGAGAAGCCTAACTGCTATAAAAGTTATGTGTTTGATATAAAGGTATTGGATTTTTACTGGTATGAATATATTTTTTTTAGAAAACAACGTAAACTTTTTTATTTTTTTATGGAAGATGTTTATTTGGAAGTTAATTCAGCGAAGTTCATTTAACAACTGAAGCTTAATGTCTTCCGCACAATGCGCACATGCTAGGAGGAGCAGGAGTTCCCAAAATTATATCCAGAAAGCGTTTTGGGAATGTGTTCTCAGTCTCCTTTAACTCGCCGTTTGTATAACCCATGCATAAAGGGATAACAAGGAGCACGAAGAATAAACTACAAAATTTTAACAAAAAAATACAATCTTGAGATTCATGTTTTGTAATTTAACTTACGCAGCCAGTAGTAGAAACTTCATTTTCCCTTTTGGATTGCTCTAATGCAGAAGCCAAACTAGTAATATTACTGCGGAAGGTGTCGTTTATATAGCGACGAAAAGCTAAAATGTCATTCTAAAACAAACAATACATACGAAATTCAAATTTTAAGTAGTAAATCTTTGCATACATATTTAAAATGTCAGATTTCTCTGTGTACTGATAAGTTTTTTTGATTGAATTTTTTTTGTACACATTTGTATAAGTATTATTTATTTTATAGATGGTATAAGGGTTATCAAAATCGTTTTTTAAAACAAATTCCATAATCTTTGGGTTTTTTAAAGTTCAGCATCATCAAACCTCCGAAATCATAAGCCATATAATCTTTGGGTTCTTCCCAAGCACTTAGACTTCAAGGTTTTGGTTTAATTACTCGATTCATATAAATATTTTTTTTTTGTTTAATTGTAAGCATTTTCATTTCTTCCATCCAAGGTTTTTCAAGAAGGTTCTTTTTAAACTAGAGTTCGGTTCAAAACGATAGTTGAATATCCCTACTGCTTGTAACAAATTTGAAGTCTTCAGTCTGGCAAGGCCAAATTTTAGGAACAGCTGTTCTGGCCGGTATTTTCTGGTCGGCGGTCATACTGACTGGAATTACTTAACGTAACTAAACATGCTGCAGGGAATGCTTCAGAGGTATAAGAATTATGAATAAACAATGGTCTTTAAATGAAATAATAAGGACTCATTCCGTTACAGGACCTGCCTGGCGGTTGTCAACACCGCCCAGAAGCTAGTTACACGGGACAAGCACGCTTTTAATCGGGCTGTGCTGAAACCGAAAGTCCGCTGTCATTTCCCCAAACCCATGGAGGTGAAGAGAATCAATGTCCACGGCTGGGATAAAAGGATGTCCACTCCCGAGGGACGTCGCGTACTGATGAATAGGATCCTCAGGGGTCGCCACAATATATCCCACTAGCCTTTCGTTAATAAACCTCACTTTATTTACAAATAGTCTTTTTACAATTTAGCTCTACTTTCGATGGCTAAATTTTAGTTTCTTTGACTCGCTGGAACGCCCAGGAAGGCCGGCGATCGATGGTAGATCTGCTGAATGCTCTTCGAAGATTTCGAGTCGTCAAGGATGAAGACGAAGGGCACACTGCTGGCGACTCCCTGACCCTGATCCCGGAAGTATCCCTGCGGCAGGGTTAGTTGTCCGCCAAGGATGAGGCAATCCACCAGGGACATCCTTTGCAGCGGCATTGCAGGCACCAGGAAAAGCTCCTTTCGATCATAGTCGATGGCACGAACGACTCCTAGATGTATTCAAGTCAATAAGTTATCCACAAAAGGTGTTTTTTATAAATACAAACCTATTCCTAAACACTGAGGCAGCCCTGCTCCCTGATGACACAGGTAAACCACATTCGCCTCCATGCCACGGATCAGTTCTTCGCGGGAGTAATTCTCGCTGGTGGCATGGACTATCTTCAGGGAGTCTAGGGACACTTTTAAGGGCTGACAGTCTGTGAGAGATTTGGCATTGCCCGTGAGACACGAACTGAGGCGAGCCAGAAGGTTGGAGTACCGCATATCCTTGGCGCTCAGACTCCAAGTTCCTGGCTCCTTCGCAGGCACCGCGCTGAGCAACTTGTGAAGTGTGTATTTTGGTATTTCCTTCACCCTGAACTCATCCGCCGTGTAGATAATGGGTTTCAACTGCGACAGGCTGCTAGAGTCGAGGGCAGAATCGAAGTTATTAATAGGAAATGGACTCGCAATTTGTACAAGGTCTGTGGGATGAATGCGATCCACCAGCAGGGCCATCAGTTCGCTGCCAAATCCTTTGTTGTACCCCATAGTATTGATAAGCCAGGGAATATTCGCGTACTTTTCATCCTTTTGGACGTCTTGGATGAGCTGAATGACTGCGCGGGCATACTGCTCTGCGCACAAGACTATATTGGTGTGGCCCACGACGTAAGCGTAGTCAGGTTGCTTGTTGAAGAGGAATCCGGGTCCCAAAAGGGGCCCGTCAATGAGGGTACAAGAAACAGTCTGAGGTACAAAGATTTCCGGTTGACCAATATCCAAATCGATGAGCAGAAGTGATGGAAATTGACCCAGATTCCGATTGATAAGGTAGCGCAGTAGGCTAGACTTTCCTACGCCCTTACCACCTGCTATTAGTATCCTACTAGTGGCCTGCATCTTCAACTTATTCCACACCTGCGGCACTTGCAGAGTGCGACTTAGATCAGAAGATTGGATGAGGCAGTGCAACAGGGACTCACTTTGGTGATACGGCCGATTGGAGGCGTTGACGAGTGGGAACACATTCTGCGCCATGTGCTTGCCAAAGTTATCAACGAGCCGCTGGCCTGCAGTATTTCGCTGCAGCAGGACTATAGCATTTGTCTGGCTCTGAAAGCTGCCTTGAATCCTGTCCAACTGGGCGCGTGTAAAGTTCTTGTTTAGCTCCTCCCAATCCACCGCATCTTTGGCCGGCTTCTTAACCTTCGTGGGTGAAATGGACACCCAATTGAGGCCTTTTGGTGAATAAATGTTGAGTGCCTCTTGTCGGCGCGGTCGGTAACCATTCACGGATATCTGGCCACTCAGAAGGGTGAGCACCAGTGTGCCATACAGCTCCAGATCTTCCTTAATCACGGCTAGCACATGGTTGCTCTTCAGGCTGTTTTCGAAGACGCTAAGCTCTGTGAAGTTTGCTTGGGGATTCCTATAAAATGGTGCGTCAATTGGTTGGGAAAGCTGCTCCTTTTCGGTGGTAACAACTTCTGGCAGTGACTCCTCAGCATTCTCTTCAATATCTTCAGGCTCTTCTGGCGGAGGGCTAGTCGCTGCTTTGATTGTATCTATTTTAGGCGTCACAATGACTGACTCTTCCGCAATCTCCTCCACAACGCAAGCCTCTTTTATAGTCTCCTTGGCTTTAGGCTTATATCTAACCAGTTCTTTCTGATTTTCATCCTCAGTTTTCTCATCAAATATTTCCTCTATAATAAGCGGCTCTTTTTGTATTCCCAAGGGTGGATCATCAAAGAATCCATCAATATCTGGAGGTTCATAGGTTGAATCGAGGTCGTCGCTGTCGAAGAAATCGCTGGCGAATTCTTCACTATCGCTATCTTCGCTGTCGAAATCTTCATCATCGTCATCATTGTCGAAGTCTTCGCTATCTTCGTCATCCAAGTCTTCACTATCGGATTCACTACTATCAAAATCTTCAGAGCTTAAAACTTCGCCGTCTCTTGGTTCATAATCATCATCCAGTTCGTCACTGTCCTCCTGTGAGTTCTGAAATACCTCCATCATTTGAATTGTTCCCTCGCCATCGTCAAAACCATCGCTGCTTGCGTCTTCACTCTCGAATTCATCGCTGGTAAAATCTTCAGAGCTAAAATCTTCGTCGTACTGCGGTTCATAATCATCATCCAGTTCGTCACTGTCGATATTCGCATATGCATTCTCAAATACCTCGATTTTTCGAACTATTCCTTTGCTATTACCTTGCAACAGGTGAGCTCGGCTCTCAACATTTTCAAATGGGGCAGGAAAGTCTAGTATTTTGCTCTGATTGCCTTTGGACTTGACCTTAAATATATGTGGCTTTTTAAAGAAAGTATCGCTTACTTCCTCGGAGTCACGGCTTATTAAATCTGTTGATAAATATTTTATTTATATATTTAAGGATATAACGTAATACTACAAAATACTTACTATTTACTATTACAACGGAATTCTCCCCTTTATCAATACCATTTACTGTGGAAGCTTTAGAACTCTTAACTGGACCATTTTGCGCTAACTTATTTGAGTTTGTATATCCATTTTTACTAGATTCCTTGGATTTTTTAGGTTTACTTTGTAACTTTGCTGCTTTGGAACCTTTGGTTTTTATGGGAGCGCTTTTAGCCGATTCTAAAAATATTTGAGAATAAAGTAATTCGAATTTCTTAATTAAATTTTATAAACCTTACCATTTTTCTTGAAAGCCTTTTGCTGAGAGCCTTTTTTATGATTCTTTGACACGGAATCATTGGATTTTAAGGCAATGGGTTTTGTGGGAATAATCTTGGAAATCTCCAAAGGAGAACCTACATCCTTCTTTGGCCTCTTCTCGATCGGAGAACTACCTGGTATCGACTCCTTATTGGAAAGCAGTCTCTTTTTAGCGGCTTTCTTCTTCGCCTTTGACGTTTGGGGCGTCTCCATCTCAAGTTTTTGGATCTTTGGTGGCGAAATCTCTGCGGGAGCACTGGAAGCCTTTGGAATCCCCTTCTGTTTGGACGCCACAGGTGGCGTCACTTGTTTTTCAGGCCTGCGACGACCGGAAGCAAGTTCTCTCTGTTCGGTGAGCTGGAAACTCAGCTTCATTTCTTTCAGCATTTGCGGGCTTAGCATGCCTATTATTATTTTCCGTAGAAACGTTAAAACCACAATTCCCGGGCCATGCGACCTGTAAGAAGAAGAATAATCATATGGGCAGTAGGACCAGTCACGGCACCGCAAGGTATTACCACGCGCAGGGTTGCCACCGATAGGCGCACTCGATAGCCGCAATAACAGCCCTGCGCTTGAAGGCGTTGGTTTGGTCATCGAACGTTCATCGCGCTACCGAGAAATGAAACGGATGAACATTGTTCATCGTCATTTTGCATGGGAAAAAATCGTCGAGTTCAATTCGAATTTTTGTAATTGCATTAACTTTTATACGATATAGCTAAACGGTAGACGCATAAGAATCAACAAATTTGTGCCATTTTGTAAGCAAATTAAGTGTCGAATTCGTGCTGAGTGTTGTGAAATCACCAATATAAATTGTAAGTGGCCGAAAGAGCAGCAGTGAAAAAATTCCACATAGCACGCACACAAATGCACGCACGCCCAGACACACACACACGGACAAACATACGAACAGAGAGTGGATGATGAGATGTTTTTGGAATAAAGCGAGAGCGGGACGGGTGAGGAGTTTTCTGGAGCGGAGTGGAACAGAGAGAGGGGTGGAGAAGCGGGCGGCCCTATGACGCGACCGAAAAGGAAAATGCGAATGCGAAAACGAAAACGCAGGAAAACGGGAAAACTCGACTCGGCTAACGGACAATGGACAATGGTCAGAAAGAAAGAACCCCACACTTTTGACTATTAGATCGCCGTCCAGCCGCGAGTATGACTAAGTGTGTGTGCGAGCGAGAGAGGGCTATCGGGAAAGAGAGCGAGCGCGGTCGTGTGTGTGTGTCGTGTGTGCACTGTGCATGTGTGTGGCTTTTTCATTTTGATAATTTTTTGAACAGTTCGCTCAGTTTTCGCGAATAAATTAAACAGAACTGAACGGCGAACCGGGGACTCGGATTCGGATTCGGAATCGCAATCGGAATCATCTGCATTATTGCATCTTCTACAATTTTTGCCTTTTGCAGAACTCCAATGACGACGATTCGCAAGAAATTGGTAATTGTCGGCGACGGTGCCTGCGGTAAAACTTGCCTTCTGATTGTCTTCAGCAAAGATCAGTTCCCCGAGGTCTATGTGCCCACCGTATTCGAGAATTATGTGGCCGACATTGAGGTGGATGGCAAACAGGTAAGCTCTTCCGCCCACCACCCCCTGGGCCCACCCCCTGCCCCCTGATAACCCCGCCCGAGTGATAATCATCTGATCTCGTTTTATAATTTGTGTGCATTCAATTCATTCCGTTTTTCAAGTGCGCGTATCCTCTTTACACTTTCCGCCTCTGCGGCTGTATTTGTGCTCCCATATATTCCCCCATGGGTGTGTGTTTATTGTTCTCTTGTTTGTGCCACCCACAACTTCACCCACACCTACAACGTCTTTCCTTTTATTCCCTTGTAAAAAATGAGTCAATATCGCCTGATACCCGCGGCAGACACAAACAAACAATGGTGTCTGGAAAAGCTAAATAGATCGTGCAAATTTCGGATTATTTGGATTACTCGGAAGAAGAATCCTAACTTTTGATAGCAGTGATTAAGTCACACTTGGCCACATTTCCCCACACTTACACACACACACCTACTAAACAGAGAGTTGGCAGCACCAATACCAGTGGAGCAGCTCCCTTCCTTCCGCTCGTTTTCTTTTCTTTTATTTTGTATTTGTCTTATACAAGTCCGTTGCGCACATACAGTTTAATGCGTTGCGCCGCCCCCCGCTCTCTCTGGCTGGCTGCTCTCTCTCTCTGCCTACCTGTGTACTCTCTTTTGGGGAAGCACTCTCCACTCCCCATCTCCCTCGCTCTCACGAATGTAATGTGCGATTTCCAAGGGGCATTAAGTCATGATTTGGCTATATATTCCATTCGGTTCGGATCCCCAATATTTTCAGGCACTTTTCGAAATAAACACTGTGTGTTTGCCTTTGCTGCGCAATATGGCGGGTTTTCAGTTTTCATTTTTCAGTTTCTGTTTCTGTTTGTGTTTCTGTTTGGATAGCGTTTACATACACACGTTCACGTCATTCTACTTCGCCTCGCTTCGATGTGATTAATTCGTTTGGCATTTCCGCCAAGTTCCTTGCTCACACTCTCCACTCTCGGCTATCTTCAACTCGAAGTTGTCTCGTCTTCGTCTCCGAAACCCCATCCCCATCCACGAAACCCCAAGCCAAACATCAAACCCCCTGATTCTATCGATCTATCTATAATCGTGATGACACATATGCAACTGCAAGTTCCCATTCATAATCACAATCCACTTCCGATCTCCAGGTGGAGCTGGCCCTGTGGGATACGGCCGGGCAGGAGGACTACGACAGACTACGACCGCTGAGCTATCCCGACACTGACGTCATACTGATGTGTTTCTCAGTGGATTCACCCGATTCGCTAGAAAATATTCCTGAAAAATGGACCCCAGAGGTGAGTACTACTGGGTTGGAAAGTACCTTTAGGAATTTCAGTAACTAGTAACTATAAAATATAATTAGATAATTTTCTAAAAAAAAATGACTCGAGTTTGCTATCTAAACAATGCTTATAGGTGAATTAACTATAGAAACAGTTATGTTTATAAAAAAAGTGTATGGTTAGTTTCATCACTCGAATTTATGACATTTTCCTAATAATTATCTAAAACTGGTAATCCTTTTTTTTATAAATATACCACAAACAATTCATAAAAATAATATATTTTTGTTTAAAAAAATTTTTAAGGAGATAAAACCACATATCGAAATATGTATCTGAGGGATTTAGTTTCAAGGTTTTGCAGTTAAAATGGATATAAGTTCGAGTTCTAATTTATATACTGATTTTTCTATTACATTAATATAAAACATCAACTAATCCTTTTAAATTCTTGCAGGTCAAGCACTTTTGTCCAAATGTTCCAATCATTTTGGTAGGAAATAAGAAAGATTTGCGAAATGATCCCAACACAATTCGGGTAAGTATACGCACTGTTGGCCCGCTGAAACTGGAGGTCTAATCGAATTGCTTTACAGGATCTAGCAAAAATGAAGCAGGAGCCGGTGAAGCCGCAAGAGGGTCGCGCCATGGCCGAGAAGATAAATGCCTTTGCCTATTTGGAGTGCTCGGCCAAGTCCAAGGAGGGTGTGCGAGATGTTTTCGAGACGGCAACTAGGGCCGCGCTGCAAGTCAAAAAGAGGAAGAAGACCAGATGCCTTTTGCTCTAAAAGAGCAAATCAACAACATGAAAATCTTTACCACACACACACAGCAACAACAACAGCATACACACACACACACATACACACCTTTTACAACAATAACGAGCTGAACAACCACTCAACAACAACAACCAGAACATCGGATACACGAAGCTGCACCACCCAACAGCAAAAGCAACAGCATGAGCAGAAAGATGAGCTTGATGAGCTTGAAGATCGGAGGAGGAGGGAGCAGCGGCGGAATAAGGGAAGGCAGCATCAAGTAGAATGTCAAATGCGGATTTGATTTTATATACAGTCTAGTGTAGTTATAAACCGAAGTAAACAACAGTAATAACTATGGCATTATTATTTGTAACCCTAGGGCAGAGCAGATCGATCAGTCAGCCACTGCAAGCAAATATATATCGATATATGTAAACATATTCAAGTTGTGTCCGTTTCTGTCCACCCCTCCTTGTTGTATGATGTAATTCCTTTTATTTCGTGATCTGTGTTGTCAAGTTTAGCCGGCTGTGGCAGGATGAGATTGTGTCGTATGTGAGGGTGAGTGAGGCAGGTGAATTAGTGGAATCAGAATCAGAAGTTGGACCTCGGGGTCCAAAACGAGCGTAGGCGACCAGAAGATGATGAGAATTATGTTCCCTTTAAATCTATCAGATGCAGAGAGACCAGACCGCCAATAGAAGATGCAAGTGAAACTACATTACAAGAACCGAACTAAACACAAAACAACAAAAAAAAACAAACGATAAATGTTTATTTAACTAAACGTAAGCCACAAATGAGATGCATTCAGTTTTCGCGTGGGAGATGCTAAAGGGGAGAAATTTTGATGATGATGAAACAACTATTTCGAGCGCATTAAGCGAGTTTTTAATATTTGTACTTTGCATTAAAACGAGTGGAAAACATAAAAAAAGATACTACAAAGCAACCAAACTATATGAAGAGTATTTTATGATTTTATAAAATACGAATATACATATAATTATACTATACAGTACATATGTGTATGTCTCTTTTTTGTATTTTGTACCGTCAATCGTGTAATTCTCACACAGAAGTTGAAAAACTCGAAGATGCATCAGATACAACCAAACTATATTATACTTATGAATAAACAGTACATTTGATCTACTCTTGGTTTAACTAACTGTTTTATTTGGAATGGGGATTGAATTTATTAAATTAGGGGAGATCCGCTGAAGAAGGATCACAGAAATGTGAATGACCCTAAATAAAAACTCACACCATTAACGGGGGTTCAAAAAAATCTTTATTGAGGGGTTGTTTTTGTTTATTTTGTGCTTTTCTTTCCTTTTTTTTACATTTAAAATGTACATAACATTATGAATCAAAATGTTTTGGTTTTCTTTCGATTAGGTATTACAATTCAATATTATTTCCGAACAGTTATGCCGTTTTCGAAACGACATGGACACGACAGAATTCTCTTAAACGTATTTTTTTAATAGCTTAACTTTCGTTGAAAGCTATACTTTTATATTTCTACCCGCATTTGATTACTCGATTTCGTTTACTGTTGTTTTCGTTAGTCGATCTGGTTGGTTCGAAAGGATTCGCAATAACAATTAATTATTAGTAATTATGGTAGTCCATTTAACTGCTTGGGGATCGTGTAACAAACAGAGTAATTAAAGCCGTGTTAGTATTTCGTTTCTGGTGATGCAGTTAACATTGATGAGAGGAACTCATGGTGAATGCTTAGAGAACGTGATGTTGTGTGGTCGCTTGTGTAAAAAGTAATCAACAGATTGGTTAAACTAATAATAAATAAACTTAGGCGTAACACGTGTCCTTAACAATATAAACAATAAACGTTTCTCAAACTTAAACAACAAATGCATCGGCTGTCGTGGGCTTAAATTATCAATTATCTTTATCAATTTGGGCATGGATCTCAATCATATTTCGTTACTTGCAATGTTCCCGCGTTTTCACATACTTAGGTCGACCGGTCGTTTTATAATATTAGTATACATTAAATTCAACATTTATTCGATTAGTTAAATGTGTTGCTTGTGTCGTATGTCATGTGCGTGTTGTCTTCTGGGTAAATACGTACATACATAGGTTTAAAAATCCTCCGTTCTTCTCCGTTCCGCTCGCCGGGCAATTGGCCATTTGGGTTAATCTCCTGGCTAGGATTCAGAGCAATCAGATTTTTCTGGCTGAATTTAAATGCTTTTGAGCTTCAGCCAATTGCCTTAGTTGCCACTTAGCCACCTGCTTAATCGCTCTCGTCTAGGAATCAACGTTAGTAATATTTACTACATAAACATATGTACGTGCATTGTTAATATGTATCTTTTGGATCGGTGCTTAAACGTATTGATATACTCTATCGCTGCTCTTCTGGCCGACAACAAGTACTTTAGATAGTTTTCGTAACAAATAATAAATAAACCACTGTGGCCATAACAATTAGTTATCCTCCTAAATTCTCTCTTGTATATCTGATGGGCCTTTTGCTATATACCATATATATAGCGAACAAAAGTTACTCGTATGTGTGGTTAATATTGCACTCGTTTCTAGGGAATCCATCTAGTTAAGGTTCCGCCTGCGCCGGAAGACCAGAGCAAAGATGGATCGGATGCGCCACCAGCGGCTGCGTCGCCCCGTGTGGATCTTCTCCGAATTGGAGTCCGTGCCCAGGGCCTTCTGCATCTCCTTGCGCCGAATCTCGCGGACCAGCGTGTAGAACGCCTCGTCGATGTAGTGACGCAGTGCAGCGGACGTCTCGAAGAAGGGGCAACCGAACTGATTGGCCAGGTTCTTGCCCTCCTCGGTGGTCACACGCCGCTGGGACTCCAGGTCCACCTTGTTGGCGATCAGAACCAAGGGAATATCCTCGGAAAGGCGGACTCGGGTGATCAGTTTGCGGTACTCGGAGGCCTCCTGGAAGCTGTGGCGGTCGGTGACCGAGTAGCAGATGATGAAACCTTCGCCGCAACGCATGTATTGGTCCCGCATGGCCGTGAACTCCACCTGGCCGGCGGTGTCAAGGATGTCGAGCAGGGCGGCCTCGTTGTCGATGACCGCCTGTTGCTGGTAGGAGTCCTCTGTATGGGAGAAACCGGTATGTATTTAGAGGGGGTTTTTGGGGTAGCTCTCCCCTAGCCTTACTCACCAATTGTGGGGTCGTGGTAGTCCAGGAAACTGTGGCTCACGAACTGAAGGGTGACAGCTGTTCGGGTTTCGTCGGCGTCGTCGTCGTTTTCAGGGGGCGGTGGGTGGTTCGGTGGGCGGTTCGGTGGGTGGCGGGGCCAAAACAAAGCGTAAAAGAAATTGAGATAATTTATTGATTTTTCGCAGCCACAATCAAAGTGCGCAGTGATAACTGCGGCAACTTCTTTGACTTTGGCTTTTCGTTTAGCTGGATTCCAGAACTCACCTGACTTTCCCACGCCCCCGTCGCCGAGGATGACGATCTTGTAGACCCGCAGACCACCTCGCATGTTCTGCGGCTGAATCGGAGGAGGCGGCTTCACCAGACTGCCGTTGTCCCTGTGGTCGCTGGGCACCCGCATCGAGTCCGTGTCGGCGGCACTGGTGCAGGACCTCAGCTTGCTGGATCGCTTGAGGGCCGCACAGCCGATGGACATGTCGCCGGCCATCACTCCCGATGGGATTTAGCCCTAATCCTGGTCCTAGTCCTAGTCCTAGTCCCGTTTTCCGTTCGATCGGATCACACGGAGAACCTCTGCACCACCGTCGCCAATTGTGTATTATTTTCTTGTTTTTCTCGGGCTCGGGGTTGGTTCTCTTGCGGATGGGAGCGTGAGGGAATTTTATAGTGGGCACGAAGTATAGGTGTCCAATGCGCATGATTTTAAATGTAAAAAATATTTAAAAAAGTTATTTATATATTTTATACTTAAAAGTTATCATTGTTCATAAAAAATGTATGTTAAAGTTTCTTATGTTAGTTACGGTACTATGGTTTTTGCTTTGGACTTTGCCCAAAAACTGCCGAGATTTTATTTAAAATTTTTGAAAATCTGTTTCAGACTTACTAATTTAGTAATACTAGCATTGTAATTCAATATTAAAATAGTTTTTAAGTAACAGTTTAGTGTTTTCTCTAGCTGTCACCTTTTCCACTCGATCCGGCAACGCCGCTCGCTTTATAAATAATTTTCCTACGGCGCGAGCGGTATTCGCATTTAGTAACGTGCTGCTCGTCGAACAAGATCGCCCGCTTTGCCCGGTCCGCTCAAAAAGGGAAAACAAACGCTCTCCATCGAATTGGCATAGAAGTAGTTCCGTTCCGAGCAGAAAATGTCGGGCGATGTGCAGCCGCGAAAGCGCAAGGATAAGCGCCGAAAACGCGGTAAGTCCTTGAAGTTATATTGCAATCTTTACCGGATTGACCGTTACTTGGTGTAAAAATCCTTCTTCTTTTGCCGCTGCCGCCGCCGCATAGCAAGCAGTTCATTTCTTTTATTAGCATAATAATATTGTCGAGTGCCTTTAAAAATAACTTTGCCCTATTATATAAAATTATACATCTCGCCTGTTTTCTGTCGCTATGCGTGTGCCGATCGGGCAGGAAAGTATATATGTATATGACGAGTGCGGGGGACCAAGAAGTGGATATTTCGAACGGGGCCCGTACTACCAACCAACAGAAGGGCATTTAGTAGGGGTGCAAAATTCGATCGAGTGCGAGAAGAGAGTGGTTTTCTTTGATTTATTTATCTTTCGATATCTGCGATGTTCCCTGGGGATATCCTCTTATCTCTCGCTCCCTCTCTCTCTCTCGATTGATCTATCTTTCTCCGCTTATCTCTCTCATCGGCGAAATGGAGAACTCACCTCGAGCGAAGTCACCTCGGCGGCAAATTAATTCCAATGCAACGGAGAGATCTACGAGATCCACAGATCTACGAGATATAGAACCAAGATGATGCTTCCGTATGAAATTCAGGGGCCATTACACCCACGGCACCGAGAATAAGTAGCCACGGTTGTACGGATATATTATATGTAAAGCCATTTATTTTCACTTGGCCATCTGCCCAAGAGCATGACTGGCGGCTTCTTTGTTTACCGTTGCGCATATTTAGGCATAAACAAATCCCCAGCCCCCCCTTTCTTATCATATCAGTTTGTAATGCCGGTATATGTCTCATAATGTAACTAACTTTTTGTCCAGATGATCGCAAATCCGAGGGCGATGTGACTGTTCTGCGTCAGTCCAGCTTTCAAGGTAGAGAAACAAACCTCCCCCATGTATTTCGATCCCCACCAACCCCTTTAGAATGCTTAATTTAATGTCTCGCACAGTTACTAAAACTATGTAAATCCGAAGGTGCATTCAATTAAACTGTTTTTAATCACATGTGCTTACTATTCACTCTATCATGCAATTGTCGGATCTCAGATGACGACGAATCTTCGCACGGCGTTCACATTACAAAGATGGGAAACGAAGATCTCCACCTGCACGTGCACCACGAACACGGAACCGGGGGTCATTGGTGTGCCAAGATCATATTTTTCGCCCTGATGGCAGTGCTACTCGGTTTAGTGGGTCTGATCATCATGGAGAACCGCGGACTGGAAGATCGTAAGTTTTAGAATTCCTAAAATTTATGATTATACTAAACAATATCCCCTTTAGTGGACACTCCTCTGTCGGAATCACGTTTCTCAAAAGTATTTGATGGCTGGGTGGACGAACATCGAGATGAACATGATGCCCACGATGTCCATGAGCCCTCTGGAGAGGCTTTAGATGATCATGATGATCATGACGAGCACGACGAGGAAGGTGAGATAAATTAATATTAAGACAAATTAGGGAAATTCTCTAACACTCAAATATTTCTTTATAGAAGAACCCCTTTCCGAAGAATTAGAAGAGGAGGAGGAAGAGCCAACTGAGGAGGAGCAACCAGAGGCAGATGAAGAAGAACCCGAACAAGAAGAAGAAGAAGATGATGATGAGGAGAACAATGCGGGCGAAAACATAACCGCCGAGGATGCTGAGGAGGAAGATGAAGGAACTGTGGAGGCCACCGTTGAAGCTACCGCAGAAGCCACCACTGAAGCCACTGCGGAGTACGAAGCTGAAGAGGATGAGGAAGAGGATGAGGATGAAGCTCCAGCGGATAAGGATGATGCAGTAGAATCCACTGAAGCCCCTCTCTCTGAAGCTGATGAGGTAGGTCTATAGCTTATATAGGTTGAAGAAATTTCTTAAAAATTTTGGTTTCATATTTACAGCAGGAAGAAGATGATGAGGACGAGGAAGAGCAGGAGGTAGAAGAGTCTGTAGAACCGCCAAGATCGCAATCTGCAGCACAAAGTGCTCCCGCCCCAGATGATAACGATGAAGATGATGAGGTGTGATTAAAAAATTTCCTTATTTTTTAAATTTTACATTAGTTCCCTTTTGTTGCAGGAACAGGATAATAAAGAAGACGAGGAGGACGACGACGACTTTGAGTCGCTTGATCAGCAGTTTGAAAATGAGCCCGAAGAATTGGAACCAGCGAAAGCAGTAGAAAGCAAGGAGCAGGATAAGGATCAGGACGATGATGAGGAGGAGCACAAAGAAGAGGGCTCCTCTTGGTTGGCATCACGTAAGTAAGGAAGGAATGAAGAATTGAACGGTTAACGAATCTTGCAGGCCTAGAACCTTAAGAACTGACAGACAGAAATGCTCCACCTTACCAAAAAAAAAAACACAGAAAAAAAACCAAAAACACTGAAACCGAAATTGTACAAGAAAGTGCAAGAGGCATTTGTTTGTTTTCTGATACTAAAACCTGACTCATTTACAGTTGCCGTTAAATTTGGCGTTGGCGTTGCACTTGCCTTAGTTTCACGCCTTGTATTGATAAGGAAAAGTCCAAATACAAGTGAGTCTTCAATGCTGATCTGCTCCCCCCGAATCTCCGCTCTTTGTATTCCGCTCTCTGCTCTCTGATCTCTATCTATATAGAGATATATATACCAAGCACGCCAGATGTTATGCTAACGAATAAACCTAAACTCAGGGGAATCTATTGAGTAATCACTACTAAGAGCCGCTTTCCATGCTAACCAATTCTAACCAAGCGATTGGTAGAATCAAAAACTGATCTCAATGTCTCGTGATCGATTACACAGGCCGACAAAATGTGACATGGGTCGATGTCCAGGCCTGCCACCATTTTATTTCGATAAATTAGGCTTTTCTAAGCATAAGTTGCCACTACGCCTATAGTCCATCAGCTCTGGTATTTGCGGTATCTTTAATTTAAGAAAATCACAAATTTTCTTCGTCTTTTGGGATATATCTTCAAGAGTGGTCAACCAATTTCGATAATCTTTTCGGAATTAAATAGTTACATGTCTCTTTTATACGGTCGTTTTGGAAAATTCAATTTAACTCAACCACAAGAGGAGGTGGGCGCATTCAAAATTTTTAAGGCACAGCAAAGTTTAAAAATCTTCATTTGTGAACAGCGTTTAAAAATTAAATAAAAATATTTTCTTCAACAATGCATTTTTGATCCAAAGACACCTTGTGTCCTTACTGTTTAGGACACTCATCAGGTTTTTGTGAATTGTTTTGGAATTTTTAAAATTGTTTTTCTTACTTCCTTCACAGTGACGATTCACAAACAGTGCCCAAACCTGTCACAATTTTAAATAACATATTTCTAAACGATCTAAGTAGTTTTGCTTTGAATATAAGCACATGAGCGTAGCCTACTAATCTTTGGGGGCTGAAATGCCTGAAGTGTAATCCCCCTCCAGCTTTTAACTTACGCCCATGTATAAATATTTTTAAAGCAAGGGTCACTTGTGCTCAAAAATAGTTATGCGTTACGTAAAATAGTGACAGGTTTGGGCACTGTTTGTGAATCGTCACTGTGAAGGAAGTAAGAAAATCAATTTTAAAAACTCCAAAACAATACACAAAAACCTGATGAGTGTCCTAAAAATTAAGGACATAAGGTGTCTTTGGATCAAAAATGCATCGTAGAAGAAAATATTTTTATTTAATTTTTAAACGCTGTTCACAAATGAAGATTTTTAAACTTTGCTGTGACTTTTGAATTTTGAATGCGCCCACCTCCTCTTGTGGTTGAGTTAGATAGAATTTTTCAAAACGACCGTATAAAAGAGACATGTAACTATTTAATTCCGAAAAGATTATCGAAATTGGTTGACCACTCTTGAAGATATATCCCAAAAGACGAAGAAAATTTGTGATTTTCTTAAATTAAAGATACCGCAAATACCAGAGCTGATGGACTATAGGCGTAGTGGCAACTTATGCTTAGAAAAGCCTAATTTATCGAAATAAAATGATGCCAGGCCTGGACATCGACCCATGTCACATTTTGTCGGCCTGTGTTATCGATGTATTAACAGAACTAAAACAAACTATTCTTTGCACTTTCTTCAGTTAGCTTATTTTGATTATGATTTATTATTATTATTATCGTTTCTTGAATCTGATTGTAGTCACAGCTTTGTTTAAATTATTCCACCAATGTATGTATGTACGGAAATTGTTGAATGGCTTTGTTATTGCTCGATTAATAATCCCTTAAACTCGAATAACATTCGAATCTTCCGTGGTGGATGCACGCAGCTGAGGATGAACCCGCACCGGAGGCCATAATGAGGCGAAGATTGACGATTGCCACGGCCGAGGATCACATACCGGACGACGTAGAGGAGCTGCCCCTGCTGGACGACGATGGTTGGAGATATGAATTTCTAGATAAACCCAAACTTCGGCCAGCCGAAGTTGCTTTCAAATCACCTGATTGTGTCAGGTGATCTGGAAGCCATTAAGTCTTTAAGTCTGGCCATGTCCAGAGTTTTAATGTAAGCCTTATCCCAAAAAAGAATACTCCGAGGAGGAAATCGAAATCGAGGAGGAGATCGAGGTGGAGATCAGCGACATCGAGGAGGAGGAGGATGATGTGCGTCACGATAGCGACGACAATGTTGCCTCCATGGCCAGCTATGTGCCCGAAACCTTTGAGCAACTGAGTGCCATGTACAAGTTCGCCCAGCAGCCTGAAAAGGAGACCAAGCCCGAGGAAAAGGAGAAGGATTTGGAACAGCCAGCTGGCCGCAGCGATATCTATGTGGAGTACGAGGACGGGGCGATCGAGGACTTCGAGCATGAGGGCGATAGCGATGAGGAGGAGATCACCGACGAGGAGGAGGACGAGATCTCCGACGTGGACGACGCCGATCTGATGAACCGGCTGGAGGCCAAGTACGGTCGTCTGCCCGTCAAGGAGTTCGAAAGCGATCCGGACTCCGACGACCCCAGCTGGACACGTAATTACTAAATCACCACCACTTCTGTCGATGTCCGCACCCGACTCCATCATACTCCATTCGATCACTTAAGCTATCGCTATCATAGGCCCGACACTACTTTAATACACACGACAAACCAAACCGATCGCTTTACATAACAGATCGTAAGTGTTAGATGTAGAAAACAATACGTATCACCTCGCACAAGGTGGAGCTCTCTAGGCCGTAACCGTTCAAAATTTCACTCCTCTTCTGGTTTCTGTTTCTGCCATCCAAAGTTCTAATCGAGATTCTTAATCCCAACTAGAAATAAAGCCGAAAGAAGCTGCACCTGCTCCTGTTTCCGCCGAGAAAGAGGATCCCTTTGAGCAGGAGTTGCGCAAGGCCAACGAGGAGATGATTAGGGAGGTAGGTTAATGCAATCGATGGAGTATCTTTTTAACCAGGATTAACCTATGGAATATCTCCGATATATCTCCAGCTCAACAATCACTAAAGAAAATCACCACACAACTCATTTCAAAGCTTTAGTTTATGTTTTGCTTGTCCAGTTCATTAGATCTTATAACTGTTTAGCCATGTAAGGAAAAAAACAAGTCTAATCTTGGGATTTAACCTCATTTACGTATTTGTAGAAACGCACTTCTCAGGGGGTTTTAGTTTTAGTTAGTTATGCGGGATGAACTCATGGCCAGTTCCTCCAAAACATACACACCCACTGGAGGAATCTTTGGCCACGGGCTCATCCCCAAAAGAAACCCCTGTTAATTGCGTTTCATTTCTTAAGAGAATGATTTTTATACTAATTGCATGTTTCTTGTCCTTCGTCTAACCCCCTTTTGTGTTTTTGGCTGGCGAACCGCGAACTAATAACCATCCCAAAAGAACTATGCCCAAGCCCTGCGATCCTTTAACACGCTCACCACCGACTTTGCCCACGAGCCATTGGCCCATTTGGGAAGAGCCCGAGTCCTGGAGCTCCTGGCCAAGAAGGAGCGCAGCAACCAGCGGCTGTGGGAAGCCATCGATGCCTACAAGAGATACCTGGCCTTTGGCGAACTGGTCAACAGCGATCAGGAGTTCACGACAGCTGGGGAAAAGTGTATAGAGAATTTGAGATTTTTGGGTAAGTTGGAGGGCTACCTTATCTCTTACCCTTTAATAATATTCCTATTATTTCCAGGCTACCACCGACAGGCGACCACCATCCACGAGCTGCTCATCGAGCGTTTGCCTGGGGAACCGCGACTGCGTAACCAACTCTCACTCACCCATCTCATGGTCAACAAGTAGGTGAGGCGCAAAACCTGGATCTTCAAATCACCTATAACAGCTCCTCAGTCTTCAGCAGGTTGAAAAGGTGTCCAAGGAAACGCTGAAACTCTGGCCCACCAATGCAGTGGCTCAACTTCACTATGGCCTGGCTCTCAGGCAGCTACATGGTGACAATGCCAAGGCTCTGCCTTATCTGAGATATGCAGTGGAGTCCCAGGAAGAGGGCACCCAGGAGGCTTTCTTCTACTTGTCGCTGGGTGAGGCCCTGCAGCGTCTCTCCAAGAATTCCGAGGCTCTGGAAGTGTTCAGAAAAGGCGTTGCCAAGGGATTCTTTGCCAGCCTCTATCAGAGATCGCTGTACAATGAGCCCCGGCTAAAGGCACAGCCTTTTTGGCAGCCCCGGGAGACGGGCTACGAAAGGCAGTTGGAGAATCTCCAGGTCAATTGGCGCGTCATAAGGGATGAAGGACTAACCCTGCTGGGCGGAAGTGGATTCTTCGAGGATGAAGCTGAACAGCTGCGCGACAAAGGAGTGTGGCAGCAGTACGTGCTCTATTCGCAGGGTCGTCGGGAGAGGCAGAACTGCCAGAGGGCTCCCATTACCTGTAGCCTGCTGGAGGACTTCCCCGAATCCTCTGGCTGTCGTCGCGGCCAAGTTAAGTTCAGTGTCATGCAGGCCACCACGCATGTGTGGCCACATTGTGGACCCACCAATTGCCGCTTGAGGGCGCACCTCACCCTGGTTGCTCCGGAGCCGGAAAAAACCTCACTTCGCGTGGCGGAGCAGGAAAGGTGAGTAAAATACATAAAATGAAAGAACGCACGGTGGCAGCGCAGCGGTAGAGAAATTGCCTATCCTGCGCGCTGCCTCTGCTTGCCACCACTTATTTAATAACCTATCTCTTAAATTAATTTCTAATTATTATTTTAGAACCTGGCGTGAGGGAGAACTCTTTATATTCGACGACAGCTTCGAGCACGAGGTGTGGCACAATGGCAGTAGACCCCGCCTAGTGCTCATCCTCGACATGTGGCATCCGCAACTGAGTGCCGCCCAGCGGCGCAGTTTATCACCTATTTAAGCGGGAGTTACTTAGTTCTATTTATATAGTTCCGGTTCCTGTAGGCCTGTAATTTAGTTCAATTCCTCCAAATCGCATCGTTCATTGTTAGTTAAATCGCCATGTTCTGTGTATAGACATTCTAATTATACCTCTTAATCGTTAAGCTCGGTTTGAATGCGTGTTTAGGCTATATAGACGTCAATTCATCTGTTTATATGTAAGATTATATACGATTAGCGTTGGCTGGCAGCTTACCCTCGCTTTTGTACTTTACAGAAATACAAAAAACCTTTTAGGATTCGACAATTGCTGTTTTTAATTTGGGGTTGTGATTATAGGAATTTGGTAAATCCACCACATTTGTCATTCGAAATGTGGTATAAATCGAAGTTACAGTTGGATCAACTTCGATTGTATCGAGATGCTGTTCATCAGAGTTGGAGCACTATTTTTTCTAGCTGCCGCTTTCGGGGATTCCTTGGATGTGTGCCTGGATGAGCTGGGATGTCTGCGAGGAACTAAAATGCCAGGATATCAGAAAGGAGAGTTTGAAGCCTTTATGGGCATTCCCTTTGCCCAGCCGCCAGTTGGACCGCTTCGTCTTAAGGTGGATTGGTTTTTGTCTGTGTTCGATTTACAAGGACTTAATCCCTTGATTATTATCAGAATCCTGTGAAGGCTGATGCCTGGCAGGGAGTACTCGATGCTGGAATGGCAAAGGATAGCTGTTTGCAGAGAAGCTACTTTGCCAGCGACAGGACAATAATGGGAGTGGAGGATTGTCTCTACCTGAACGTCTACAGGCCCAAGGTATCAAGATTTCTAATCCCCCTAAGCTGACATATCCTGATTTATTCTATATATTGTATTGCTGAACAGCAAAGAGATGCAAAACCCCTGCCTGTGATGGTCTACATACATTCGGGTGGTTTCTTTAGTGGCTCTGCCCATCCGGTGGCCAGTGGACCAGAGTATCTGATGGATACCGGGGAGGTTATTATGGTAACAGTTAGCTATCGCCTTGGACCCTTTGGTTAGTGTTATGGTTTATCTATTATAACCACTCACTTGGAAATTATATTTTATAGGGTTTCTTAGCACAGGCGATGAGAATATGCCAGGAAATTTCGGATTGAAGGATCAGCGGTTGGCCCTGCAGTGGGTTCAACAGCATATAGCGACTTTTGGAGGAGATCCTCAGATGGTCACGATCCTTGGACACAGTGCGGGAGGAATTTCCGCTCACCTGCACATGCTGAGTCCAAATTCTAAAGGTTACATCTTGTATTTTTCCTGAGATCCCTATTTAATGTTCTCTCTTCATCCAGGACTCTTTCACAAAGCCATGTCCTTGACCGGCACCATGTTCATACCAGCTATGCACATCCTCGAGGATCCTTTAAGTCAAGCCAGACAGCTGGCCAAAGTAATTGGTATCGATCAAGCGGACAGTCTTAGTAGCCAGAATCTCGCACAAGCATTCCGAGAAGTAGATCCTATGAAGATCCTTGTTAGTGTGGACAGCTTAAAGATCTGGGATAATCTGCCGCACATCATTAATCAACCCGTTTTGGAAAAGCCATCGCCTGAAGCCTTTCTAATCGAAGATCCTCTGAAAGCCCATCGGGCTGGTCGTATCAACCAGGTGCCCTGGGTTATCAGCCTAAATTCCCGAGCTGGAGAGGGAGCCTTGAGCTTATTGCGCTCTTTCACGTGTCCGAAACGTATGGCCGACTTCAACGGAAAGTTCCTGGAACATCTGGCTTTGGTGCTCAATCTTCCTGACGGAACTCCTCCCCAGATGGTCAGGGAAATACTGGATGCCTATGGATTTCAGGGGGAGTCTCTGAACAACGATACACTGCTCACTTTGGCTGAAATCTCTGGTGATTTCAACTTTTACTTTCCGATCTACGAAACAGTTTCATCGTATGCCAGCTATGCCAATCTTGAAGAGAATCCACTTTCCATCTATATCTTTGAGTTTTCCGGCCTGCACTCTATATCACTAATGTTCAGTGGTTCCGAGGAGGATTTTGGCCTGGGAGCAGCTCACATGGATGATGGCCTGCACACCATAAGGTTACCAGTTCTTTTTGAGGATTTTCCCAAGGATTCTGAAGATGCCAAGGTGGCCCAAAGGATGACTTCGCTCATGACGGACTTTGTTAAAACGGGGTAAGATTGTAAAACTGTATAGTTATGAAGGTTTCTTATGTTTCATTCTCTTTCAAAGGGTATTCCATGAAGGATCTATCTGCAAGGCTTCGGATTTCAAGGATCTGGGAATGTGCACCTATTTACATTTTGGTGGCAACACTGAAAAGTACCAAGAAGATATTCGGAGTAGTATGAAACTCAACGCTTTTCCCATATGGAAAAAATTATTTATGTAAAGAGATACTTCTCACAATTCCATCTGTTAAGGGGTAGCTAATTTAAGAGTGAGCTACTGATAAATAAATCCCATTAATTTGCGAAATGGAACGGATCTTGTAATGGGAGCTGTTGAAGATACCCCAGATTTCCATTCAGGCATTGTAAGTTGAGCTCTGCCCGTGTTCCATTTATTTTTGTTGTAAAAGTCTGCTCCCCCCCTTTCCCCCCATTCCCCCAGTTGTCATTCGAAGGTCAATTTCCATATGCAGAATGTGCAAGAAACGAGATTAAGTGCGAATAAAAGACTGGGCGACATGCGGTGCGATAAGATAGCCGTCGATCCGGGGAGCAATAAATCTCGCCCGATAGGGGAACATCTTGTTTGGAGACTTTTTTCGAGTTCTACGATCATCAGCTGAAGCACGATAAGTGAGAGTGAAAAGCGTGACGTTTTATGGGAGGATAAAAACGAAAGTGAGGGGTGCAAAGATCACAGGTTTGTTAGATTGTTAGAGATACTATAGACTAGATTAAACAAAGATAGTGGAATGGGTTTATTAGAAGAAACAAAAAGTTTATAAGTAGATCACAGTTATGTTTACTATGACGACTAATAGATTTTCTTAATAGACTACGAATTAATTTCACAATTAGATAAAACTTAGGGAGTTATTAAAAAGCGTGATTAATGTAGAAGCTGATAAGTAGTCTTATCTGAAAGTAGAATACAAAACATAGCAATTATGACATCTTAAAACTCATACCTTTTATACAGTGAGCAAATGATAAATCTAGTGATCCGTCATCTGTGTTTGTTGCCGAGTGCACTTCGTTTTGGAGACTTTGTGAGGGAATGGGAATGCATTGAAAGCGAAATTTCATGGCGAGTCAGGATAAAAGCGAAAGTTTCGATGCGAAGCGATCGCAGTTGATCGCAAGTCGTCAACTCTGTCGGATCAGGGTAAGTGCCTCGATATACGGGAAACACTTTCTACTCGTTCTGGCGCGTGTTTCAAATTACCAGCGACTAAGGTCGCAGTATTGCAACTAGCACAGTTCCAGATCAATTGGTATCCGCACTGATCAAGCATACGCCGTGTGAACCGATCTCCAGCCGCTCTGTATAAATTTTCCACAGCGAGTTCGGTCACTTTTGTCAAGATTGTGGGCAGAGCGTTTCTACTACTGTAGCTATAGAGTCGGAACAAGCAAACTTTTCATCGCGATTAAAGTAAGCGCGCGCCCTCGAAAGCGGTCAGATCGATTTGGGCCTCTGTCGCGGAAGGTTCTTCGCGAGATTTTCCCTTTGTGAGTAGAAGCTTTTCCAGCAGGAGCTGCCGGAGCATTTAGAAAGACCATCCCAGACCGATTTAACGTTGACATCATCTTAAGGCGAATCAAAACAAAGTGGTGGAAGCCCCACAGAAATTGAACATAAATAACCAACGGATATGCATAATTAATGATCCATTAGCTCTGTTTTCAGTCACTTCGTGGACCGCCGGCGATGATTCAACTACTGATGCCACTGCTGCTTCTTCTTGGCCAGCTCTCAGCGGCCTTGACGACGGTGGACCAGCTCACCGTCTGTCCGCCCAGCGTGGGCTGCCTGAAGGGCATCCATCTCGGGGGTTATCAGTCGGAGAGGTTCGAGGCCTTCATGGGAATTCCCTATGCCCTGCCGCCCGTCGGAGATCTGAGATTCAGTGTGAGTTTGATTGGAAAATCCCTTTATAAGAAAGTCTCTATAACTCTCTTTCTTCAGAACCCCAAGGTTATGCCCAAGTTACTGGGGGTTTACGACGCTACTGAACCCAAGATGGACTGCATCCAGAAGAACTACCTACTGCCCACTCCAGTAATCTACGGTGAAGAGGATTGTCTGTACTTGAATGTCTACAGACCGGAGGTAAAAGTTTATTAATTAAATTAATTTGCAATTCCCAATTAAAGGGTTATTTTATTTTTTTTTAGAACCGAAAATCCCTATTACCCGTAATGGTCTACATCCATGGCGGAGGATTCTTTGGTGGCTCTGCGGGACCGGGATTTACAGGGCCTGAATACTTTATGGACTCGGGCGAGGTGATTCTGGTGACCATGGCCTATAGACTAGGACCCTTTGGTAAGCTAATGCTAGTTGATAAAGATAATAAGCTAAGAGAATATTTTCCAAAAGGATTCCTATCCACTGAGGATGCTGTAATGCCGGGTAACTTTGGCCTGAAGGATCAGAACTTGGCGCTGCGTTGGGTGCAACGTAATATTCGCTCCTTTGGCGGTGACCCGCAAAGGGTGACCCTTTTTGGCCAGAGTGCCGGCGGAGTGGCTGCCCACATGCATCTACTAAGTCCAAGATCCCAGGGACTCTTCAATCGCGTGATCAGCATGAGCGGCACAGCAAATGTGCCCTTTGCCATTGCCGATGAGCCCCTGGAGCAGACTCGTCTCCTGGCGGAGTTTTCCCTAATTCCAGATGCCCGAAATTTGAGCACAGTGAAGTTAACAAAAGCTTTGAGACGCTTGGATGCCAGAAAACTCTTGGATGCTGGGGATAACCTTAAATTTTGGGATGTGGATCACATGACCAATTTCCGACCTGTTGTGGAAAAAGGTTTGGAGTCGGAGGCCTTTTTGAGTGAGCATCCCAAGGATATCCTGGCTCGAGGGGAGCGACCTTCCATCCCTTTCCTTTTGGGCACTGTTCCTGGCGAGGGTGCCGTGCGTGTGGTCAATATCCTGGGCAACGAGACGCTCCGAAAGAGCTTCAACTCAAGATTTGATGAGCTGCTGCAGGAGCTGATGGAGTTCCCGCCCAACTTCAGCCAGGATTGGCTCAACAAGAGCATGAAACTCCTGGTGAGGGAGTATTTCAAGGGACAGCATGAAGTCAACGAGGAGACGGTTCAAGGATTCATGGATGTAAGTTGAAACTGTTCTATTTTAGTTTAATATAAACGATCCAATTATTTATTATACAACCTAGATAACCACACGTTATTCAATGACAATTAATCAGGTTCTATTTAAATAGTCTTAAATTTATTCAGTTTAGACACTAGTAATCTGTTGTACACCTCGTAAAATGCATTTCTTAAAGTTTATGTCATTACTAGACCTACGATATTAAATTACAAATTTTCATACTAGTTTTTGCAAAATTTGGAGATCTAATTATTAGCTTTTAAATCAATTTTCCTATATAGACTTTAATTCATTTATAAATCTCTTCTTACTTCCCAGTTAATATCAGATAGAGGTTTCAAGCAGCCCCTGTACAACACAATTCGAAAGGATGTCTGTCATACTCCGCATCCTGTTTACTTATACAGCTTTAACTATCGGGGACCTCTGAGCTATGCCACTGCTTACACTTCCGCCAATGTGACTGGAAAATATGGAGTGGTTCACTGCGATGATCTTCTCTATCTGTTCCGTAGTCCCCTACTTTTTCCCGACTTTGAGCGGAACTCCACGGAGGCGAAGGTGATCCGTTCTTTTGTGGATTATTTCGTACATTTTGCCAAGTTTGGGTGAGTCGAAATACGGATTTATTCAGGTAGTAAAAACAGCATAGTAAATGAATAATTTTCGTAGAAAACCAAGGAATGCCGAGTCACTGACCCCCTGTTCCATTGAGGTGCTACAGTCACGTCCCAATGGCATTTGCGATTACCAGGAATTCGCCAATGCGCCAGATTCCTCCAAAGGTTTTCAGGTTAACGTGGCCAGCGAATTCCAAACGAATAGAGTCAAGCTCTGGTCCCATATACTCAATGAAAAATCGAATGAATCTTAAGCTTAATCCATTGATAATATAATGTACATATATACAAATGTTTGATACTTAAATTCGTAGAATATAACATCAAACTAAGCTGTTGTAAGAAATTAAACTACTACCAAAGTATAAGATCAAAACTTGGTTGTATTTCATTACATAACCAATATAAGAAGTTGTAAGGCTTACAAAATGCTAAAAAGAAAATTACCTTAAATAGTTATATGATTGTTTGTCTCGCTTTCCTATTTCCAACCGTGCCAAACTTGATAAGCCATAAAATGAATTTGCAACACGTGTACTATATCTGTTTGTCGGCATTCTAAAAATGTTTCCAAAGGGGTTGGGGGAATGGGTGGAAAGAGTGTGCAATTAAATCAGGTTTTTGCCGGCAGATTAAGTATACGACGCGTGGCGGCAATGAGAAATCTGATCGAAGTTCTTCCTCGCTTAGATGGATTGCAATTGAAAATCAGTTGATTATTCATAGCTCCCAGCTATCTTGGGATCTTGTAAATATTGAGTAATATACATATTAGCTAATGACCAGACCCATTTGCATACTGCATTTCCTGTGACTTAATTTTTTTGTATGCATTATTTATAGATTATAAAGAACATATTCCGTAGTTATGAGGCGAAAGTGCAATGAACTTTTGGTTGACTGGCAAATTGGGTTAGCACATGCAAGTGTCCCGAGTGCCTGGATTTGTGTCACCGTCGAGCGCAATTAAAATCAATAGAGCGCAGCGAAATCATTCAGGCTTATGATTCAGGCTTCCTGCAGGACATTCGTCAGTTGTATTTGTTGCTGGCGAGTGGAAAGTTCAATTATGGAGTTGCGTCGGAAAATCGCTTGGCGCATTTTGCCCCTCTTTCTATTGGGCTTTTTGCTGACTGTGGGCGAGGCTTATCTGAAGAGTGTCCGGGTGGAGGAGATACCTTTTGCCGGGAAAAAGGTCCAGGTCCTGGCCAGTCGACGGTCCAGCGGCATTCATCTCATCTCCAGTCTGGAGCATCAGCGCACATTTCTGCACCTATTTCATGTGCCCTGTGAGTAGAGTATACTATATTTTTTTTAAGCTTATTAGTTTTCTATTTATAAGTACTATTTAGCAAAACGCAATTTTATTTACTTATAGAATCTCACAATTGTCTTATTCTTAATTTTTTTTAGTTTTGCAATTATGTTATCTCAATGTAATGTTAAAAAACGTCCTCCACAAAAATGTTAAAAGTGGAGGACCCAATACTGAAGGATAATTATTTATTTATTGTATTTAAATTAAATTAAATTAAATTAAAAATAATTTTAACATAACTTTACTTTGCTTTACTTTTTATATACATATAATTCAAAACTAATTTTTTCTCATTTTTAGACATAATTTGCTTCTACGCTGCCAAAGGAAAGTGGCCCTATGTTCCAGGATTTATGAAGTACCGTGTTGACAATGCAGCTCGCAGTTTTTTCAACCAAAACGACAGTTTCATCAAACAGTTTTGCACAAAGTGGATTCAGGTCAAGGAGTGCTTTCGTCCCCTATTCGGTGGGTAAATAAGGGAGACCAAAAATAGGTTAACTTATAATTTATTTCCCATTTCAGATAAATCAAATACCACCACAGATGTGGAGGTGGAGACACTGAATGCAAAAATTCAGAAACAGGGGCAGGGGCAGACTTGCAACTGCGACAAGCTGCTGCTCTCAACTGAGGCACCTGTACCGGTTGTCTACTTCGATAAGAACTACATTGGAAATGTAAGCTCGGAAACTATTATGACAACCATTGAATTCCTGGAGAGTTTTCTGCCACCACCCACTAAAAAACACAAACGCAAGAATCGCGTGCGCGGACGCCTCGATGATATTGATATAGAATAAATTACAATAAAACCAGAACTTGAAACTTGGATTCAAACTCAAATTCAAAATGTAACCGTTGAAACTTGGATTCAAATTGAAATTTGGTAAAGATGAGCTGAAATTAATCGATAGATCCTGAATAAAACATAAAAACAAGGATGACATTTAAATAAAAAGCCTTTAACTGATTGACTAAGAAATTTTAATTAACAATTTAATAACCTCAACAATTTTAATTACCTTCAGAAAAAGAGGTTTTCGTAAAAATAAATTTTTTTTAAAAGAATATATGCTTTTTCATCAGTTTCATTATGTATTACATAATATATTATTTCTACAATGGTTTTGAAAACAAAATTTTATTTTTAAATATTTATTTTATTTTTTTCCAAACTGTAGTGTAAATAGGTCCTAATCACGAGCCACATCGATAGAACGGCGATGGCTGGGAACTATCGATAGTGGCATCGATATCCGGCCGCCGCTGAGGTATATATTAGCGGCCGACGTGCGGGCACACTTATTGCACGATTCCAATTGGAAAGCCAAGTGCGTTCGCGTCGCGGAAGAACAAAAAATAGAGAAGCACTGCAAATGCACTGGGTGTTTTTAAAGTACAACCGCGATTAGAAGAGCCTAAGGAACAGGTGTTTAGCGACCAAATCGATTGGCCGTAAATCAGCGTCGAGTGATTCGAAGAGAGAAATTCTTTTGCATTCGCTGCCCACCGCATTCATTGCGGGTTTGGTTTCTCTGCGTGTGTGAGTGTGCGAAAGAGCGTGTGCAAATATCAGTTTTTGCCGCGTTGTCTGCTCTGCTGCGAATTTCGAGCGGAAAGAAGATAAAGAGAGAAGAGAGGATCGGGTGAATGTCGCTGAAACACCAGAAGCAATCCTACCAACCGCTCCCAACGGCGGCTGCCATGGACAATCCGGCGATGATCCAGAGCGGCAGCAGCGGGAGCAGCTCCTCCGAGGAGGGGGGCAGTCGGGAGGATGTGGCCAACCTGTCGCCGCTCGGACTGCCTGCGACCTACTCGTCACAACAGCTGATGCCCTCGGATTCGGACAGCATGGAGGAGGAGCGCCATCGCCTGCGACTACACCACCACCACCCACTGGAAGCAGGAGTCCACCCGCCCTCCGCCGCCGTGCCCTCGCGCCTCTCATCCGTCGGCAGGTCACAGTGGTTCACCGTCACCGTTCTCTGCTTCGTCAATCTCATCAACTACATGGACCGTTTCACGATCGCCGGTGAGTTTATAGGGTCCTCTAGAGAGATTCGAACCATAGGGTTCCGACCATCCCGAACTGATTCAGTTATTCGCTGGTAAATTACTCCCCAATGACGTCAAGTGGGGTTTTGTTTCCGCACCAGATAACCAAATTTGTTGACATTATAAAAGACGCCTTCTGTAGTCGGGGGAAAAACCTACTACCCAAAACAAATTTGTATTAGATTAGAGATAATTCGGTCAAAAAAGTTAGTCTTTGGAGTATATACATAGAATAGTCAAAATAGTAATATTACAAAACCAAACACTTTAATTTTCGTTGTTTGTAACAAATAGTAAAACAAGAAGAATATAATTAAAAGCCTTTGCATTTTTCGAATCGTTTTATAAACATTCATACATTTTTCACATTATTTCATAAATAGATTTCATCTAAAACAAATTACTAAACCACAGTTTGCTTGAAAGCGAATCATCACATGCAAATTCCGAAGTCTCTCTATAACTATTTCAAAAATAACCTCTAATCAGTTATAAATAGTGATTGTGATTAAAACACTACAACAATTTCACCTCATCGTCAGTAATAACAACTCTGTTGTTTACTAAATGTACCATAAAGATTCTATTTGAATGAATTCTCGCTGTGACTAATCAGTTTACACATGAATCACGCGATCCAAAAATATTGAGAGACATACGGGTAAACGTTTTATCGCTCACTAATGCGACGATAAATGGATCCCTTCCTCTTTGCACCCAACTCGGGACATTTCCACTGGGTGGTAATCAATCAAGACCCATTTCGCATATAGTATTCCTAGCACTGGGGTGCGATAAAAAAGAAAGAGCGAAGCTAGTCTACCACCTGACCTGGTGCCTGGTGAGCTTAGCACGATCGGTGATCACTGATCAGAAAGTCCCCGCCCGCGTGACAATTACCGGGTAATCGTATGTTGCGGCCTATAAATAAACTCGGACACACTGCCCATATCATTAGGGTTTATTATCATAAGGCATTAGCGAAGAAACGGCTCTAAATTCATGGGATTCCTTCATGCGGGCGGTTTCAATTGGACCCACTTGTTTACATTTAGAAACTTCTTCCCACTGCAATTCTTTTCCTTGTTTGCTTATGTCTAGAAATGGAGTAGTAAAGTCGAGTGTCTGGTTGTATCACACTCGGTAGTTACACAAAAAAACCGAGTGTAAACTAAATGGAAACTTGTTTAACGGCGGCAATTACACGCCTCAACTAGTTATGACTAAAAGTGGGCTTGGGTTTGTCACCCCTTTTGCTTGCACAAGCCCACTTCAAACCGTTTAATTTGCATGTCAAAATCATTATAGATAATAACTATCATTTTCCGTTTTTCACAGTCTTTGTGAACCTGAACTTGCTCGGTTCTTCCGTCGAGTCAGCAGAGAATTTTTCCACTCAAGGGCAAATGATAATGTCTTTTACTGTATGTGCACTTGCAAATAATTTGCAATGATAATTTACTGCCTATCAGTTATCAGCTGATGGCTTCAGCGGCAATTATAAATCGATTTTACACCCTTTTTTAAGCTTCAAAAATATAAGCTAAGCCCCCTGATGATTCGTGTAAAAGTCAACAAAAAATGACTAAAAACATCATACGACTTTTAATCAGACAGGAAGCGGAATTACTCACAGGAAAAGGGTGATAGCATTTACATACATATCAGAAAGGCAGCTCGTCGTCCATCAATAACACTACATATATTATATTAAATTTTTCTCTTTAAACAGAAATGTTCAAAATTTCCATGTGGCGCCTAATTGATTGGGAAAACTTGTGTTTATTTTGAGCTCATTGGGAGAGCGCAAGGCGAAATAAAAACTAAAATAAACACTGGCCCGCCACTCAAGGTTTTTGTTTTGCCATTTTTCCAGTGGCATTGTGATAACATCCCCCTTTCGTTCCCCACTCCAAAAGGCCTTATCAAGAAGTGGCCGAAACCAGAGTCGTAGCTGCACAATAAATTGCATTGGATCACAGGTGGCTTACACGTGGAGTTGGCAATGGGTTTCGGCCATTTTGCAGTGATTAGATTGCCGCGCCATTATTTATTTTGATTTTATTTGGTCTGCCCTTTTTTTTCAAGGGAATTTCGACACCAAAGCCACGTTTACAGTTACACCCGTGTACTTATGTATGTATTTTATTCCGCATATATAGACGGGCGTATCGCCCGATGTCTGGCCAGCAGTAGCCACCCTAATGGAATGCATTTAATTATAATTTTAAGTGCGTCTTGGCCTTTGGCTTCGACCTCCGCCTTTGCTGAATTTTGCCAAAGTTTTCGAGCTAGTGGCCTGATGTTATATGTACCTCTTTGGGCCCTCTTCATTCATGTTCATGATCTTTATTATGTACGTCGCATTGTTCTGTTGTTGACAGTAAATTCGCTTTCTGCACCGCCAGCGAACTTTGATCGGCCAAAGCTCTGTCAGTTATTTTGGTCAACAGATATGTGGGCTGAATGAAGGCATAGATATATAGGCAAAGATTCCGTTCTGCTGTGCTTCCGACGTAATTTTCTTGGCCCCCATCCAACGAAAAAGATCTGAATAATTGTCTATGTCAATTGATCGAAAACAGATTTTGGTAGCAAATTTCGTTAGGGTCTAACAAGATCACTTTGGGTTATTTCTTAATGTTTTTATTGGGTTTTGTAATCCACTTTTACTCTTGCCTAATTTTTGTTTTGCCTTTTTTCGTTTATTTTTCATTTGTTAAAATTCGCAGAGTTTGCATTTTATTTCCGCTTAAAATGTTTTTTCAAGATATACACCAAAACTTTCCATTTTGTTGCCATCACAGCTGAAGAAAGAAATAACAATAAAAAGAAAAGACAAAAAATATAAACAGCCTTGACACACCGAAATCGGCAATACCCTTGGAAAATTTGTTTGGATTTATGATACAAATTTGGACAATTGTTGCAAACTTATTGTATTTTCTTATACTAGTTAAACTGAACCAAATTTCTTGATATTGCACCAATTTATGGAAACCTGCTTACTTATGTAAGTAAATCACTATTTGAATAGGTTGAAAATGTGAGGTCCTCAAGTTATGCAAAGCGTACATACCAAATGCATCTTTTTAAGTTTTTTGCATTGCATATCTTGTGTTTGAGGTTTGCGCACGTCAATGGTTCTATTCCGCTGCTAGATGTCTGCATACACACATTTACATATGTATATCTGGGTCAACGACCTACGCAAAGTGCAGTGCACACTTTTTGCTCAAACAAATTGAATTAACGAAGGCAAAAAGGCAAACAAAAACAAAGAATAGTACAAGAGGTTGGGGTAGGGAATGTCTGGAGCTCGGTGGGGAACTCTTTTCCCTGGGCGCCGACGCTTTCACAATTGATTTCCACCTGGCCAGCGAAAAGAAAGTTTTTCTCTAAACAATTCGAGTGCTCCGCTAAGCATTCAAATGCATTCCAAGCGAAAGTCACAGCCTCAGTTTTTTGTTGTTTTGTTTTTTCGGCTCCGATTCGTGGTCGAAATATCTGCCAGATATTCGTTTAATCATCGTCCGATTTTAAAGCTTACGCTGCATATCGCGCGATATTTCAAGGCCGGCGTCACCAGACGCCACAGAACGAGAGAGATATAGCGGAGAAAGAGAGATATAGACGACTTGTACTGAGAACAGTCACTTTCGGACACAAACAACTTTTTCATTCATGGTAATGAGAGTCCCGCCTTTGTTGTTGTGGTTTTTGCAGTTGCCTGGTTATAAGTATTGGCTTTTTAAACGGATCAACGTTCTGGAGTTTCCCTCGCTACAGTGCAGTGCGTTTTGATAGGAAAGTCCTAGTTAAAATTTGTAAAAAATAAAATATAAACTTTTATTTAAAAAAAAATGAAAGTGCTTAAATTTTTATTAGAAAATTGCTTTGAGAGAGATAAAATGTTCCATGTTGTTCAGAACTTTGACTTCTGAAAGTGTTATTCGTTAGAATCATTAAAATTTTAGAAAAATTTCAAGTCATGATGAAGTAAGATTCATGATAATTACCACTTAGGATTGTCAGAGTTCCAGAAAGTTCGACCTATGGGAGCTTGAACTAGAGTGGCTTGGTTTTATAGACAATGTTAAGTATTATCACCTACTGTTGTGAATCGCACTGTTGTGTTTATTGGGGACCAAAAGAGAATAAACCGAAGAGAGAAACTCACGAGAGAGCCGAACAGGTTCTTAAACGGCGGCACCGGCTAAAAAAAATATAAATACTAAAATGTTTTCTACGTTGACGGAACTTCCCTGCAAGTGTGAGAGAGGAGGGGATTGGGGTAGGGTATCTACGTATTCATAGGAGCTTTGCCTCCGTATTTATTTTTTTTTTTTTGCCAAGAATGCCCACAAACAAATGGAATTCCTTGCGTGGAAGGAGATTACCCGTTCCGAGTACGAGATAGCAATATGACATGTACAAATATGTATAAGGAATGCCTCACCCAGACCAGCCCCACTCTGCCTCCCCCTCTCTCCGCCTCTCTCTTCAACCCACAATAGCAATGCAATACACACACACACAGACTTATCGCGTGGCGTCCTCCATCCGTTACGTCACTGGGCAAGTCAAACAAACGCGCTGATTGGTCGAAAAACATCGTACGATAAATTTCTCAAAAGCGAAATGAGCAAAAAGACCCAGAAAATGGAATAATTAAAAAGCAAAGGCTGATTCACTGCAGCAGCGACTTCGTGGCACGTTTCGTGGGGGTTCGTGGAGAGTCGGAGCTCTCATTTTTGCTCTCTCTCTCTCTCTTTTTGGGGCCAACTTGTTGAGCTTTTGTGTGTCATTGTTGTTGCTTCTGCATTTGCCGGCTTCTGATCTCTGTCACTCTCTCTTGGCTCTGCTCGTGCTCCCCTCTCTCTGCTCCACTCTCTCTTTCCTTCCCCCACTGGGTTTTTTTGGGCCGTTGTTTATTTTTGGGTGCTCAAGCACTTTAAGTAGTTATTTCACAATTTTTTTTTTTTTTGATTTTTTGGGCCATTCCGCAAAGGCCAATGTACGAAGAGAGCGATATAGACAAACGGGGGCTTAAAAGCTGTTTTTTTGTTTGTTTGTTTTTTTTTTGAGCTGCATGTAGAATATAGGAAGTAGCGTTAGATTGGCTAACAGTTATCGATGGAGGCCGTTTTCAGCCATTAATTCGCTACTTGCACATCCGTTTGTTAATGAATTTTTAAATGCCTAGGTGAAGACGAAACGTGCAGGAAATACCTGAGAAAATGTGTGCGAAGGTGAGACAGCAATGATCAAAATTCAAGTCATGACACCGATTTGCATGGCGATGCACCAGATCGACGCTAGCTTATCTATTATGGGCTTTATCTGAATCTGCAATATTTAGATAACTTATAATATTATTATCAATCGAAAATGTAATCATTGTATGATCGATAATTATCGATTGGAAACGGTGGAGCTTTATCAGTTTTTGCAATATTTAAATATACTGCAGTATGCAAAACTGATAAAAAAAAATCGAGTTATAACTGCATTGTCAATATTATATTTCGATAAGGAAGAGCAATGGACAATATCGATTGCAAATGTAACCACTAAAACTGATAAAAAGTGGGCGTTGTACCAACTGTGATCAATTAAAGCTTTCCCCCTTCCAATTTGACTTATCTTTTCTATGCTGCTGTTTAATAGATATCGATGGGTTAATTAATAGCTTTTTGGGGAAAATATTATGACCCATAAACACACACGAAATTTCCGCAAATTTCCCCCAGTCATACAGGAGCTACAATGACCGGGAAGTGCTAATTATAGAGACAACTCCCCCCTGAACCCATAAATTTGGGGCTTACGTAAAACACTCGAATATAGCAGACTCGTATTAACGATTTTTTTATTCGACCAATTAACAACACCCGCTGGGGATGGGCTGATATGTACAAACTACAATGTGGTATATCACACATCACGCGCATTCCCCGTACATATTGGGTACATAATAATAATTTTTTGTATCTCTTTAATTTTTGCCACATCACTTCAACCTTCAATTCAACCTTTTCTTATTTTAAAGGAGTTTTGACGGATGTTCGAACTGATTTCGATATCGGAAATGACAGCGCTGGACTTTTGCAGACCGTATTTGTTATCTCGTACATGGTGTGCGCCCCTATCTTTGGATATCTGGGTGATCGCTACTCCCGCCCCTGGATAATGGCGGTGGGCGTGGCATTGTGGAGCACCACCACTCTGCTGGGATCGTATATGCAGAGCTTTGGATGGTTCATCACCTTCCGGGCGCTGGTCGGAATCGGCGAGGCCTCGTACAGCACAATAGCGCCGACGATCATCTCGGATCTCTTCGTTCACGACATGCGCTCCAAGATGCTGGCTTTGTTCTACTTTGCCATACCCGTGGGATCCGGTCTGGGGTGAGTGTGCAGCTAGTTTTAATGCCGGTCAATGTCCAGATCAATGATCTATTAGCAATCCGGGAGGATGGGCTCTTATCATCGGTCTGCGACTTTGTTGTCTTGCCTTATCAACTGGTGGCAACAGGCGATGGAGGCCAAAGTTTGAGGCTGTCTGGATGATAATCAGTAATTCTCACTGCTGAAGCGTGAGAAGAGTCACGTGACTTTTGTTGTAAATTGAAATTGATTTACTTTTGGAATGCCGCAATTGACGACTCTAATTGAATTAGAGTGGAGGGTCAATTGGGGGGTTGATTGGAATTTATGCAACGCCCAATTGGCCGCCAATGCAAGGCGGCTCAAGAGTCAATTTATCGGGATCAGTCTCATCAATGACCCCCTTTACTCTTCTATTTTTCAGATACATTGTGGGATCCAAGACCGCTCACCTGGCCAACAATTGGCGTTGGGCCCTGAGGGTCACGCCCATTCTGGGCATTGTGGCCGTTCTGCTGATCGTGCTCATCAAGGATCCAGAACGTGGTCACAGCGAGGGATCGCACAACCTGGAGGCCACCACCTACAAGCAGGACATCAAGGCGCTGGTTAAGAACCGCTCCTTCATGCTCTCCACTGCGGGATTCACGTGCGTGGCCTTCGTGGCCGGAGCTCTGGCCTGGTGGGGACCTTCCTTCATCTATCTAGGCATGAAGATGCAGCCCGGCAACGAGAACATTGACCAGGACGAGTAAGTGTGACCTTGGAACCCCGAAAACCCCATAGCCCCATAACCCCATTTTCACGATAGTAACTTTAATAACTACGCAGAAAAAAAAACGATATGAAATAGGGTTATTTCTACCTTGTTTCATATCAATAAAAAGCCGATATGATTTATTTCAAATTTAAGATTCAAACATATCAACATGATATTTTATCATATCATAAAAATACCAAATGTAGTATTTTTGGAGCAAATCATATAAAAAAAGATTAACATAATCTTTATTAATATCAAAATGATCTTTAAAAAATATCAATTTCACCATTACCAATATTTTTTCTGTTATAAATTATTTTTATTTGTTAAAAATTCGTGAAAATGGGGTTTCTATCGCCTCCCTTTGACCCCCAAAACCCTCCTAAACCCCCGGAATATCGAGCTGTGCGCCTTACAATGATTTCTGATCCGTCGTCAAGCATCTCGTACAAGTTTGGTATCGTGGCCATGCTGGCCGGTCTCATCGGAGTTCCGCTGGGCTCCTTTTTGGCCCAACGACTGAGGGGTAACTACGAGAACTGTGATCCGTACATCTGTGCGGCGGGCCTCTTCATCTCGGCTCCCATGGTGTTTGCTGCTCTGGTGGTGCCGCAGACTAGCGAGACTTGGTGCTTCTTCTTCGTGTTCGTGGCCCAGGTGGCACTAAACCTGTGCTGGTCCATAGTGGCTGACATTCTACTGGTAAGATGGATGCTCATTGGATGCGAGATACAAGAAGCAGCAGCAGCAGAAATCAAAAGCTAAAAGCCAGCCAGCCGTTGGGTTCTCTATTCTCTATTTAAGAACCCTTAAATCTTGCCCTAACCCCCAAGCTCGTTTAATTGTTTAATACCCAGAAGGCACTGAAACTTAGTTATCCATTGGCAAGTTAGATGGGTAACTCTGTTTCAAGTGCAAAGAGGGTTCCAAAGCTTTTTGGCATAACTAACCGAATGTACCCCGAAATTCCCAACCCCGCCCTTTAGTATTGCGTTCAACTTTGGAGTCATCACCATGGTGGCGGGCCTGCTGGGCGTGCCCATGGGCTCGTTCCTCTCGCAGTACCTGGTAAAGCGGTATCCTACGGCGGATCCGGTGATCTGCGCCTTCGGGCTGCTCGTGAGCGCTCCGCTGCTGACGGGCGCCTGTCTCCTGGTGAACAGTAATTCGGCGGGCACCTATGCGCTCATCTTTTTCGGGCAGTTAGCTTTAAATTTGAATTGGGCAATTGTTGCGGACATACTGCTGGTAAGCCAAGATCTCAAGAACGGGATCTCAAGAGAGAATCCCGCTAATGCTTTTGTAATTTTGCACCCACGTATTGTTTGAATATCGTAACTGTAATTACACACAGTAAATCGTAGTTTTAAGCATTAACTTTTTACTGTTATAATGAGTAATAACACAAACCCTGCACACAAACACAGCTTGCTTACACTTACAAAATACTCTAACCAAATTTTATGTTGTCTTCACCCGCATCTTTTACTGGTGGTGGTCATCTGATACTCCATTTTGTGGTTGTCTTATTTATTTTGGTTTGCGGTTTTTGAGTTCAGTAAGTCGAAGAACTTTACGGCAGTTACATATCTTGACTGTCTTGAGATTCTCAAACGGCATTTACTTGATTATTCCTTGCAATTCATTTTTACTTCCCCTGGGACATGAAAACTTAATTTCATCTTATTACTTTTTTTTTTGTAAATGTAATCAACATAGAGTTTCATCTTCTCACTGTCACTTTCATCCCTCTACCCCCATTTTGTGGGGCAAAGGGAGTGTCCAACCCCTGAAAACACTTGCAGCGTGCAAATATTTCAACACTCAACCCCCAGGGGATGTCGTAAAACCATATTAAAGCACCGCAATCCCCCAAATTGCAGTGTGCCACCCACCCACGCTCCATTTTCAGCCTCCTTTCATAAGACAAAGTGTCGAAATTTTCGTAATCACATTGGATTCTTCCATCTGGTTTACTGATTTTCGGGGGTTATCTGCCTGGCTAGTCACGTTTGTCCGTTTTCGGGGAGATAAGCAGAGTGATAAGGAAATAAAAAAGCCAGAACTCTGAAGTAAAGTGAATCATAAATTAGGATTTTGAAGTAAAGTCGAAAAAAATATAAACAAATCGTAAACAACTAAATAGCTTTCTTGATTGAATTTTAAGCAAGTCAGCAGATCTGACTAAGTTCCATGAATGCATTTTATGATACCGCGCTTATGTCATTAAATAACCTTAACTGATTAAGTAACCTAGTTTGATAAAAATGACCCAATTCAATTGAAAAGGTGTTTCAGAAGTGCAGTAAGCGGTATCATAAAATGAGTAATATTATTTACAAGAAAGTATAACTTAGATAAACCCTTTAGATAGGAAGTTATCCCATGGAAATCTGTATAAACAGCTGATGTACGCAACCAAGTGTCAAGATAATGGATATGGAAACCCGTGTACGTAATTCCTCTCAAGAGATACGTACGTATTTCCTACGTAGGGTGGCCTGTTCTAAATTTGGCAGCACGTCAGGCCAGGCAATATATATAGTGGCATATAATCCCCCAACTTACACCCCCTTCAATGCATTGCTCTGCTGTTTTTTCGTCGCCTCTTTTATTTTTTATTTTATTTTTCTTTTACCACGCACTTGATTTGCGTGTGTTTCTCTTTTTTGTTGCCATTTTGCCATTGCAAACGATTCCGTGACAGAAATAAGCAATCGCATTTCGGGTTGCCACCAACCCACCCGATTATCTAACCCAAAAAAAAAAAAAACAATATAGCGGCGATCGGCCCACCTTGGTGGCGTTATATTAATTGCTGGCTGCGATAAGCAACCGTGATTAGAGATTGCCTTTATCAGGGGGCTTTTGGTTCTGCCATATTAGATGACCTACAGTAAAGGGAACTCACTTTATACCTGGTGTAATATCATAAATGCTTTGCGTAATTTCAGCTTTTCGCTTTTTAACTTAGATCACACACAAAATACACACCCATCAAATCACCTTTAGTTATAACAGTAAAAACTTAATGTGGCCAACAGTTTAGTAGACAACAAATTGCCACATTCAATTTAAAGATAAATCCTCGAGTAATTTTAAAATCAGCTGAGTTCTTGAGTACCTGAGTTGTACCGCTATAAAGAGAGCCCACTGTTCCCAGGCAGGCTGGCCGACTGTTCCCATTTGGTTGGACTCCAACCTGAGAACGTAATGCTAAATGGCTATTCTTCTTCTTTTCGGGGACCAGTTCTTTGTTTGTCCCCAAAATTCTCGAGTGGCTCCATCTTTGGCGAGCTTTTGGCAAATTTGAATCTGTTGATTGCACACCTATATAAACACATAATCGCAAGCTCACCCACACGCTTTAATCACTTTTTTATTTGTATTTAATCAATTATGGAAATATCGGTTATGATGTAGAATACTTTCTGGAGGAGAACTATAAGGGTTTAACACCTGTCCACCGGAAAAGAAAGATTCTACACCTGAACCGATAGCTTATGGTTTAATCGATAGTTGTAGCTTAAGAATCGGTTGTGGCTTTTGCTTTCATTTTATGCTTTGTTCTTGCTGTTGCTTTTGTACTTTAATCGTTGAATTTAAATTTGAATAACACCCGGTTTTCTTTTATAGTATGTGGTGGTTCCCACACGTCGTTCCACAGCCGAGGCCTTCCAAATCCTCATCTCACATGCGCTGGGCGATGCCGGCAGTCCGTATTTGGTGGGAGCGGTAAGTTATCCCTAGATTTATAAATCGAATAATCTTAATAACTAAATTTTCTAAAAACCTTAGATTTCCGAGGCCATCATGAAGCACCTGCACAAGAACCCCAGCGATTCTGGCCTGACGACCGAAATGCAGAGCATGTCCCAAGTGGCCGAATCTCCGATTGTCAATGTCACCCAAGCGATCGTAGAAACAACCACACAATTGATGGAAACAGTGCGCTCCTCTGCCTCCCTCTCCGATGAAGTAAGTGGAATCTTTGGAGGCTGAAGATTACAAATTCCTAATTCTAATTCCTGTTATTCCTATTTTAGTACACTGACAGGGAGCAGTTTGAGGGTCTGCAATATGCCCTATTCTCCACCAGCTTTGTGGAGGTGCTGGGCGGCATATTCTTCATGATCACCGCCTGCTTCATCATCAAGGACAAGTACAATGCCACGCGGGGATTGCAAGGTGAGCTTAAGAAATGGGTTTTTCCTCTTAAATGGCCATTTATCTATCTATCTATTAACTTACTGATCAAAAAGTAACCGGAATTCTGAAATAATACAATATTTCAATGTAGCTTTACAATTTAAACAAGAGAGAACGCTATAGTCGGGTGGGTGTCCCGACTATCAGATACCCTTCACTCAGCTTAAGGGAATGCGAGGGAGATGGAGATTTAAAACTTTTATCGCGCATAACTTGTTAACGAATGGACCGATTTGAAAAATTTCTACATTTACATAGGTTTTGATAAACACAATAAAACTGCATTTTTACTTTTCCGAAATCTTTAAAGGTGTGGGCGCCAGACACCTTTTAAAATCGTTTAGGGCGACTGTAGACGTTAGAAGGGGCGTGGCGCTCGGCTGAAACAAACTTGCGCTGCGTAGGAAGCCAAAGAATATGTGTGGGTAATCCGAATTTTCTAGCTTTTGTAGTTTCCGAGATCTTAGCGTTCATACGAACAGAGGGACATGGCTAGATCGATTTTACTATACGAGTAACGGGTATAAAAATTTAAAACCAGGAAAATTGTTTTATTTTTCAAATGATGGCTACTTTTTAATCAGAAGTTGTCTTTTTCGCCACTTCTTGGCTTAAGTTTTTTCCGTTTGATCTTGGCAGGCGACCAGGGACCGCAAGCGGTACGATCGTCAGCTGCCTCGGCCAGCGGGCAGAAGGACGTCGAGTCCTTTAACTCAGACTGCCTGGTCATGTGCACTGACATCGCGCTGCGCGAACGCACGTGATAAAACGAATAAGAAATCTGAAAATGTGCCCTGTGGCACGGAATGATTTTTTTTGGCCCCCAGTTCCCGGTAGGTGGAATGCTCGAAATTTTGTTAACACGTTCTGTTTTCTGCGTGCGTTCCATCGTTGCGTTCTACTAATCTCAGTTACTTGACCCCAACCATACGCCCTGTTCTTCATTGCTTTCTGTGTGATTTGATAAGTGTAACGTGTATCTAATAAACTTATGTGTAATTTAATTATTTTAGATGCCTCAGCTCAACAACAGCAGCGGGAGCAGCGCGCTCAGGTTGCCTAATACCAGCCGATCCTGGAGGTTATGCTGCGCACTCAGAGCTCCGATGGCATGCCGGGTGAACTGATACTGACTGAAAACCATCTTTAATTTAATCAACGCTCACTCGCACCACGCACATCCCGCATCGGATCGTACTGGAAGCTAACGGGGATCCAGCGCTCCGTGTTCATGCTCCTATTGGAAAGGATAAGGATCGGAAGGAAGGACCACCATGCCAACGTTCAAGCACACTACATACTGAATTGTAGATATATTTACAAGCAAACACTCACTCTCACAGGCACTCACCAAGTCATAACATTATACAGATCATTTTACTTGTAAACGGTTAGGGGCTACGACACTAGCCCTGCTCTATAGCTAGATAGATAGATAGGTATAGCTCTGGTATTTTAGGCTAACTCAAAATTAGACAGAGTTTCAGGCAGATTCGCATTCGAGGAAGTGCTCCCTCAGTTTTGGATAATGTAAATAGATTATCTCAGGCATCGAGTGCGAAGTGCCTGCAGTTTGGATATTTATATAAATGTACATGTATTTTATATGAAATGTAAATATAGATAAGCACCGGGCCATTGTATAAGTGCGTAGTCTATTTAATCAATTTAATCGTAACGCCCTAGTTTTAATCATAGCCTTAGTTAGTTGTGTAACAAATTGGATGAAATGTGTGCACCCCTCAGCAATTACTGAATATTACAGCCTAACTATTTTAAACCAAAACGGCATTAATCAATCCCCGAGTTTGTTTTTTTGTTAAACCCTAATCGAATGCTAGCCTAATCGGAACGCAATGGCGACATAAAGACTGCGAACAATCAAAAATTGGTAATGCGATATTTGTCTGAAAGTAAACCAAACTAATTGTTTAGCAACTAAGGATATCCGGGGCAATAAATATACACTTCTGAAAAGTTAAAATCCTTTATCCTTATTTCAACCGAATTTAGTGGGATTTGGTATATAACATTTATTGTTTGTTGTAGATCTGCTGAAATTTCGGAAAATTGAAGTTTTTGGGAATCCCCTAATAGATTTTTTTTTGAAACTCTAATTTAAAAAACATTGCATACTTTTCGGCGAACGAATTTTAAATAAAATTATCGATAAATTGCAAGAAATAAATCGAGAGAGCTTTTTATGGGATAGTTAGCTTAAGCAGCGTGCAGCCACACTACTTTTTGGACTTTTGCCGACTCAATTCCAAATTCATTTATTTGTTATTGTCGCTCCGTTTGGACTTGTTTGTCAAGTTTGCCGCGATGTCTATTTACGCAGACGTTCCGAAGGGACCCGCCATCGAGGTTTTCGCCTTGACACAGGCTTTTAAGGACGACACCAATCCCAGCAAGGTCAATTTGTCGGTGGGCGGTAAGTGATAAATTCAATTTCCCCCGGAAGAATCTACACAAGTGTGTGCAGCAATCCGTGTTCGTACTGGGTGTATCTGTATGCGGCTCAATTTGCTATCATTTGCCAGTTGGCTTGCCCTTGCAGTTCGCCTCCTTCGCCCCCTGGAACGCTCGTTTCCGCCGCCACCCAACCACCCCACTCCGCTGGAGGTCATTTGGAAGTCAAAGTGGCATATGAATTGTTTAGATTTTTCCGTCCTTTTTGCCGAGATTTTATGCATGTACGAGTGTGTGCTTTCTAATTAGACAGCTTGTGATATATCATGTAAACTAGGGAATGTTAGTTTTGACAATACTTTACTGAAGAATTTATTGTAACATTTTTACTAGACTGTTATAAAAAACATAACTTATCTAATACTTATTTTTTGTTAGCTCAGGTTATCTATTTTGATAAATACTATTATACATTTTTTTTCGTAACCTTATCTTTGCTGATATTAATTATTTACATTTGGTGAGCTTTAGAAACTATCATAAAATGTAAAAGACATTCCTTTAAATATTATTCCCCACCAATTTTTAAAAAATAATTATTCGTATTATGTTTAGGTCCTATTGAATACATTTTTAAAATGCGATTTGAAAAACAGATGATTTTAGTTATTATCTCAATGCTTACCCAATTATTAAATCTTTAATAGTAGGGAATTTCTTTCGCGACTTTCTTCGTCTAAATTCTTTTTGACGTCAGCTAGCACAGTATATAGTTATAGCCCATGAGTATAGTGGATGATAAGCCGCTTTTGCGAGACTCTTGGCAGGTACTCTACAAACATCCAGCGGCAATCTGAAGGCGGGTCGTCCAAGAGCAATGTTGCTGATTTGGACGGTCGCCATTTCACCTTTTCTATATTTATGGATGTTATTGCATAATTTGAATAACAATTCCCACCAGCGAACTTGTTGATTATTTTGCTTTTTGTTTTGTTAGCTGATCTGATGGTCATTAACCTTTGCTTGTGTAAAGTTTATGCTAATGAGACTTGTTTGTATTGTAGTAGAAATGGAGTCTTATTTCGACTGTTTTCTTATAAATTAAACTGACAAAATACTCGATAACTCAGATGAAATAGAACCGGTTTAAATGGTATAATTATAATTCGAGCAAAAATGTTTGTTTTCCCTTATAAATTCACTGGCATTCTATTTTATTGTGTCAGTCGTTATGGCTGCTTGTTTATAGGCATTGTATCCCATGTTTTCGCTTTTTTTACAATGCTGCAAAAGTATAAAAAAAAGCGACCAATTCATTCAATTGGTTTCGAATAACCGGCTACAGTAATTTTCAGTTGCGGCAATAAATAAACGAATTGGCCTAGAAACAACGCAGGAAACACTATCAGATTGCGTACAGCATTACTTGTTGATTAGGACTGTTAAGACCACTACGATAAGAATTGACTATTGTACGGATTTCAGCACTTTGAACAATGTATTCCCCTAGACCCTTGAGCAATCGATGGACTTTAAAATCGGGTTACTCATGACATCTATGATTTCGTTTATCCACAGCTTACAGGACAGATGCTGGAGTTCCCTGGGTTTTGCCTGTGGTGCGCAAAACTGAAATCTCCATCGCCAGCGATGAGGCTGTGAACCACGAGTATTTGCCGGTGACTGGTGAGTAAAAAGAAGGATTCTATTATCTATTAAATATCTCTGTATAAATTAAAACTAAAAGTTCTTGAAACTGGTATAGAAAAATGTGCTATATTCTGAAGTCCGATTGAAAGTTTCTTTAAAAAAATCCACAGCATACTTTCAAGTACCTTTTTAATTGCTTTTAAATAAATTTAAAAAATAAATATCCAATAATTTTGCGACGGTTCTGATTGAACAACTTTCTGAATATGAGATAAAAATCATTTTAAATCTCCTCCATTAAATCCTAAATTATTTGTAATTTTCCAGGACTCGATACGTTTACTAGTGCTGCCACGGAATTGGTGCTGGGCGCTGATTCCCCTGCCATTAAGGAAAATCGGGTAAATTAAACCCCATTTAAATGTTTCATACATTCTACTAATACATATATTTTTCTCAACCCTTCAGGCCTTTGGAGTGCAGACCATTTCGGGCACTGGTGCCCTGCGTATTGCTGCTGACTTCCTGCACACACAACTCAATCGCAATGTGGTTTACTATTCAAATCCCACCTGGGAGAACCACCACAAGATCTTCTCTGATGCTGGCTTCACGACCCTCAAGTCGTACCGCTACTGGGACCAAAACAAGCGTCAGCTGGACTTCAAGAACATGCTGGCTGATCTGAACGAAGCTCCGCCCGGTGCCGTGATCATCCTGCACGCCTGTGCCCACAATCCCACTGGTATTGACCCCACCCAGGAGCAGTGGACCGAGCTGGCCAATTTGTTTGAGAAGAAGAAGCTCTTCCCGCTGTTCGATTCCGCTTACCAGGGCTTCGCCAGTGGCGATCCGGATCGCGATGCCTGGGCTGTTCGCTACTTTGTGCAGCGGGGCTTTGAGCTCTTCACCTGCCAGTCGTTCGCCAAGAACTTCGGGCTCTATTGCGAGCGTGCTGGCAACCTGACGGTGGTGCAGGCGAATGCAGCCACCAAGGCGGCGGTTCACTCCCAGCTGACGCTGCTCATTCGTGGCCAGTACTCAAACCCACCTGCCTACGGTGCCCGCATCGTGTCGAAGGTACTGAATACCCCGGAATTGCGCAAGGAGTGGATGGCCTCCATCCAGGCCATGTCCAGTCGCATCCGTGAGATGCGCAGCGCTCTGCGGGACAAGCTGGTGGCGTTGGGAACGCCCGGAAACTGGGATCACATCGTCAATCAGATCGGCATGTTCTCGTACACGGGCCTGAACGAGAGCCAGGTGCGCGTCCTGATCAACGAGTTCCACATCTACCTGCTGAAAACGGGACGCATCAACATGTGCGGACTGAACACCGGAAACATTGAGTACGTGGCCAAGGCGATCCATGCCGCGGTTACCGGAGGTTCTGCTGCTTGTCCCTGCGACAACAAATTGTAAACGATCGATGGAGAGTGCAACGATTAGCTATATTTTGAGTGGGCAAGACAAAACTGCTGCACCATTAGCATTTAAATCAAACCAACAGCAATTGCAATTACTAAACGTTTATACACGGCTTTTACATAGATATATTATACACTTGAAATGGTCAAAACAGTATGGAAATTATATGCCACATTGGATTGAATAGTTAACACAAATTGTGCACAACCGAAGGCCGCCAGAGATTGGTTAAATAATGTTTAGTTAACTAAATCTTTATTGACTTGTGTGTAGTAATTAGTTACAACGACAATAACACTATTGAAGTATTTAAACAGTGGTTTGTTTATTTGTGTTGGGATTAAATATTTCTTATGAAATATAAACGATATTTAATTAATTTAAATTGACTTAATTACTTTTGAAAAGAACCGCTTTGGTTGATTACTTTTTGAGTATCATCGATATATCGATTACAAGTCAGCTGTTTCCGAACTTCCATCTTCAGAATTTTATTGTAAACTTTTTTGTTTGGCCAAAAATTAGAAATACTCTGCAATTAAAACAGATTTTGTAATGGCAGGTGCGTAAAAACACAATAAAAAACTAAATTTTTGATGTACAAGTGATGATTTCCTTCAGACGATCCAAACAAACCCTCCACCTCGACGAAAACTGACGAAGCTCCCCTCTTTCCTCCCGCCAAACCTGGAAAGCGAGTGGACTATGGGACAAACAACACACTGGAGCTGCTGGAGCGGATTCCCAGCCAGGTGGTGGATCTCAAGCTGGACGATGTCCTCACTGCCGTCAAGGAAGTGGACAACCTGTGCGACTATCCCCGCTGCAAGACCAAAACAAGCCTAATGGGTCAGGATTGTCAGCACTGCAAGAAGAGATTCTGCTTTAAGCACGGACTGCCTGAGGTTCACGGATGCGGGGAGGAGATCAAGCGGGACGAGCGGAAGAAGTTCCTGCATCCCAAGCCAGCGAAGACAATAAGGCAGGAGGAGGATGTCAAGAATGCCAAGAAGCGACTTGATGCCAAGCTGAAGGACATGCAACAGGGACGCACTCAAAAAGCAGCTGGCACTGGTGGGGGTTCAAAGAAGAAGAAGGGAAAGTAGGATAAATTTATGCTTGTTTTAGTTTATTAAATTTTAAGAAGCCCAAAACTGAAGATGTATACTTTTTTTCGAAGAAATTCAATAAGTAAACGCAGTTAAACTGTTTTCTGGGTTCTCTGATATAAAAATAATGTTAATCGTGCATTCTAGATATTTAAAAAAATATTATAACTAAATTGGAACAGTGTTTTCGAAGTGAAAAACCCAATATACCAGGAAAAAATAACCTTTTAAAAGCTATTCAATACCATACCAGTGTGGCAACTCTAAACGGCGTTGCCACTCGACGCCGGACAGCTGTTGCTCATGAGCTGATGAAACTTTGCCGCATTGCAAGTGCAGAGGAGATTGACTGTTTATACACACGTACACACGCAACTAAACACTAAAGAGATAATGTCGAAACGTGGGCAACCGGCGTGGCAAGCTCCCAAGGCGGCGGATCGGCCGAAACTGAAGCTGTTCAACAGCCTCACCCGGCAGAAGGAGGAGTTCGTGCCGCTGGAGGGGAACAATGTAACGTGGTATAGCTGCGGACCCACCGTCTACGATGCCTCGCACATGGGGCATGCCAGGTGCGCTTTGATTACAGCGCCACATCACCATTGGTATTTCTTATCTCCTCACCCCACAGATCTTACATTTCCTTCGACATTCTGCGACGGATTCTGGCCAACTACTTTGGCTACAACATCCACTATGTGATGAACATCACGGACATCGACGACAAGATCATTAGGAGGGCGCGGCAGAACCATCTCTTCGAGGAATATGCTAGAGAAGCGGCCAAACTGCCCCTGGATCAGCTGCTGGGTCAGCAAAAGGAGGTTCTCCAGCTGTTCCAGCAAACATGCGCCAAAAACACCGATCCCGACAAGAAGATCATGCTGGACAAGACCCTGCAGCGCATGAACGATGCCGTGGAGGCGCTCACACAGGCGGTGGGGAAGGGATTGGAGCAGGAGATCGCCGAGAAGCGGCAGCACTACCTAAACGAGGCCAAGGATCCCATTTCCGAGTGGTTGGACTCACAGAAGGGTGCCCAGATCAACGATAATGCTGTGTTCGAGGAACTTCCGAGGTACTGGGAAGACCAGTTCCACAACGACATGAAATCGCTGAATGTGAGTCATCATCAGCTTACCAAAAATGAATCATTTACTTATAAAACACTTAACAGATTCTCCCCCCAGATGTTTTAACCCGCGTTTCGGAGTATGTACCCCAGATCGTCACCTTTATCCAAAAGATCATCGACAATGGTCTGGCCTATGCGGCCAACAACTCGGTTTACTTCGATGTAAATGGCTTCGACAAGCGGGAGAAGCATCACTATGCCAAGTTGGTGCCGGAGGCTTATGGCGATACCAAGTCGCTGCAGGAAGGAGAAGGCGATCTATCGGTAGCAGAGGATCGACTGTCCGAGAAGCGTTCTGCCAACGACTTTGCTCTGTGGAAGGCCAGCAAGGCCGGCGAACCCTGGTGGGATAGTCCCTGGGGCAAGGGTCGTCCTGGCTGGCACATCGAATGCTCGGCCATGGCCTCGGATATCTTCGGGCCCAACTTTGATATACACACTGGCGGTGTGGACTTGAAGTTCCCCCATCACGACAATGAGTTGGCCCAATCGGAGGCGGCTTTTAACGAGTCCGAGTGGGTCAAGTACTTCCTGCACACGGGACATCTCACAATTGCCGGCTGCAAGATGTCCAAGTCGCTGAAGAACTTTGTGACCATCCAGGAAGCCCTCAAGAAACACTCGGCCACCCAGCTGCGACTGGCATTCCTGCTGCACTCGTGGAAGGACACGCTGGACTACTCGGAAAACACCATGGAAATGGCCACGCAGTACGAAAAGTTCCTCAATGTAAGGCGGAGAAATCTTTAGTTTTATTTGGTTTATCTAAAAAGCTTCTCCTCTGCAGGAGTTCTTCCTGAATGTCAAGGATCTGACACGCCACGTCCTCTCCGATGAGCCGCGCAAGCAGTTCGATGCCTGGACAGAAGTAGAGGCTGCTCTGCAGAAGAAGTTCGCCAGTTCTCAGGTCCAGGTTCACGCAGCTCTCTGTGGTATGTATTTAGATTAGGGAAATATCTTGAAGTTGAGTCTATACATGTGTATTCCCTTAGATAACATTGATACTCGCAGCGCCCTTGATGCAATCAGAGAGCTGGTGTCCGCCTCGAATGTCTATATTCGTGACAATAAGGCCCGGCTCAACAGTCTACTGCTTCGCAACGTGGCCACTTATATTACGGATCTGTTGCACGTTTTTGGCGCCATCTCAGGACCTCGTGGTGGCATTGGATTCCCCGTCAGTGGTGGCTCTGGATCCCAGGCAGCTGGTGCTGACCTGGAGACAACCGTCTTGCCTTATGTCCAATCCCTGGCTGAATTCAGGAATTTAGTGCGGGAGCAAGCTAAAACCCTGAAGGCCTTTGACATTCTCAAGCTCTGCGACGATCTGCGAGACAATGTGCTGCCCAATTTGGGTGTGCGATTGGAGGACAAGGATGGCGGAAAGTATGCCGTTAAGCTGGTAGATCGTGACTCACTTTTAAGGGAGCGGGAAGCTAAGCTGGCCGCCGAGGCGGAGAAGGCAGCGGAAAAGGAGCGCAAAAAGCAGGCGGCGGCTGAGGCTGCGGCGGCCAAAGAAGCCCAGCGTCGCGTGAATCCCAAGGAAATGTTCCTCGGCGAAACTGAAAAGTACTCGGCATTCGATGAAAATGTAAGATCAGCATTAGCTAAACCATAAAACATATTATTCATATTTTATTTACGCATCTAGGGCCTTCCCACTCTCGACAAGGAGGGCAAAGAAGTTAGCAAAGGTCAAATCAAGAAGCTGCAGAAACTCCAGCAGCAGCAGGAGCAACGTTACAAAGAGTATTTGGCATCCATCAAAGCCTAAGTTTAAAGTCTAAGATCAAAGCAACCATGTTTATGATATTAGCATAGCATTTAACCGATCCAAAACCTTAAAGCACACCTTAAAATTTACCATTTAGTTAAAGCAAGAGATTTCAGTTCCCAGCTTAAAGCAGTCCACGTAATAAAACTATTTTTCTACGATAAGATCAACTTTTGATATTTATTTACAGGCTAATTCCAGTTTTTATTTAAATTATCGATTTAAAATCAAAATTAAGACTACCCATTAGCTGCCAATATTTCGAACTAAAACTATCTTCCTTTATAATAAATAATTTTCTACATGAAAAGACAGTTAATAACTAATTTCACTAAAATATTCTCTAACTATTTCGACAACAATGCGAAATAAAATTAACATCTCTTCGATCAATCGGAAGTCAAACATATTGCGTGAAAAGTTAAACCGGAACAGCCCAAATTGGTTTTCTAAGCGAGATCCAGATATGATGGCTTTTTTCCGTTTTGCGATAAGATAGTCCTATGATATATTCGACTGCAGCTTATGTTTTCTATTAGAGGAGTTGAGCGCTATTCCCACAAGTCTTTGGTATACATATCTCCTACGGTTCCACTGGAATGTTGGGTTCAGAGTTTAGGACTCTTATAAGCTACCAATGTCGTTGTAGCGCTTCAACTTGTCGGGGAAATTGTCCCGGAACAAAACGGGGTCCGCTCTAAACTCCACCGTGCGCAGCGGCATGCGGCCATAGATCTTGGAGAAGCGATCAATGCAGGCCGATCGTTCCCTCATGTGATTCAGATCGGCGGAAAGCATTTCCGTATTGGTGCATTCCGGACACTTGAACTTCTTCCTCGGAGTGACCTTAATCGGAGGATTGTTGGTGATGTTGGCCACCAGGAAGTTCATGGCAATGTCCTCGCAGTTCATGTGCTCATCCACCCAATCCTTAATGTCCCCCGGCATGGCATGTGTGTACATGTGGCTCCAGTACTTGTGATGGAAGGCAGCTCCGGTTAGCACCATGGATATCTGGTTTGTCCACTCCGATTCGTAGTGCCAGCGCATGGTGACATTGTCCCAGACATGAATGCGACTGGGAAAGCCGACAATGTGATCGGGAAACTCGCGCCAAACTTCGTAGCTTCAAAAAGGCAATGATTAGCTTTACAATAATTAAAGTACACAAGTTAAATTTACCCAAAATCTAACTCATCTGTTGTCAGCATGATGATGTCATCGTCTATGGTTAAAATAGCTTCCGTTTCGATCTCCGGATATGGGTAGAATCGGTTGGACAGCTTGTTCTCCTTGGTTTGCCGGATTTTCAAGGGTTTCGATATAGAGGGAAAAGTAGATACTATAAGGGAAAAGTAAATAATTAAGGTCTTGTATTTATTTTGAATATTTCTAAAGAACTCACAGTGCGGCGGAGACTTCTTCTGGTTGTTCCAAATCACCAGAATACTTTGCAGCGAGGGCACCACAGCCAGCTTCTGGATCAGCAGAAACAGACTCTCCACGCGATCGTAGGTGAGGATGACGGCTGTGAAACCCTGCGACTTTGGCGCCAGCGAAGGCAGGAAAAGAGGATTGAAGGTGGATCGGGCGTTGGTGTCGATGGTATTCCACTGGCGACTGCTGCGAGCTCTTAGTGGAAATATCCTACTCTCCAGCACCTCGAGAGCAGTCAGCGTGACGGTCTTAAGATCCCTGAAGTACTTGGAGTACAGCCACTGAACTTGCTTCTGCATCTCAACAATCTTGACACTGGATATTGCCTTCAGCTTCTGCATCACCGAATGCAGTTCGTTTTCGCGTATACGAACGGAGGCCAGCGACCAATCAATCACATCCTCAAAGGGCAATACATAGTTGTCCACGACAATCACGGGAATGCAGTGCTGCGACATAATCTCCACCAGATCGGGCTGACCCAAGCGAAGACTGCGGCCAATCAAGCAGAATTTGCCGCGGGACAGGAGGCGCGGATACTCCAGGGCTTTGTGGTGCTGCGACAGGGGGCAGCGCATGGCGAGATCAAGGCTCTCGCAGGCTCCCAACAGGAGCAACTGATCGCTGTGCGCCGCGGCCAACTCCCGCATGTTCCTCACGAAGCGGGGGAGGATATTCAGCTGGGCCACCACCAAAAGGAACTTCCTTTGGGCCGTGGCATGAGCATGTTGTCCGCGCACCACCCGCGGACTCCAGACGGGAACGGAGACATCGAAGCCGGGTCGATAGGACCAGGAGTCAAAGCCACCGCCAAAGATGATGGCATTGTCGGTGCTCACATCCAGCACTGTGTTGTACGTTGGCGCACCGCCGGGCAGCATGTTGAAGATGATGTGGTTGGCTCCGCGATCCCAGAAATCCAGGGAAGCCAGAGCTGCGCCCGCCAAGTGCTTGTCGAAGACATTCTGGTTGAGCAAATCCAAGCTGGGCAGGAAGAGGCACGCCTCATTCGGGTTCGAGGTGTAGTAGCGACTCTTGAGCACCGCTTCGAGGATCTGGAAGTACTCGCTGGACAGCGTGGTGGCCACCTTGTCGCTCCGTTCGTCCACAAACTCCTGCAGCGGATAGATGTACACCTTCAGGCGGTCGTGCTCGCACTTGTATATGTTTAGGCAGTCCCAGAAGGTGCAGTTCACGTTCCGGGCACGCTGCTCGGCCTCGGGATTCAGGGAGATCTCCTGGATGTGCTCCAGGTCGAGGATCAGCGTGTGTGAGTCCCTCTTCCCATGGAAGAAGCCATCGCGCGGACTGTTGGAGAGATCCCAGAGCAGGAAACCCGCGCAGAGGGCCACAATCACCAGGAGGCCGTAGGTCAGGCAGTTCAGGATCTGCTCCTTGGGGTTGGGGTGCGAAATGACCCGTGACTGGGTCACATAACTCATCAAATTCTTTAACTTGGTCATTTTATCGCAATTTTCACATTTTGTTATTCCCCTCTAAAATGGTATGACCGCACTGCCGGCGAGCGAAAAACCTGAAGCTGCCAGTGTTGCAAAAGAAATATTTTAAATTTTTGAACAAATGAGCTTGTTAATTTTTTTTATTTTTAAACTTTATTTTATAAAAACTTTAACAATTTAAGAAGTTTTATTTACAGAAATCACAGAAATAACTAGAGCCCATGTTCCATTGTTCATTTTTTAACACTGCATAAGTTTTTATTTACAAAGTCGAAAATCACAATTCATCAGCTGTGTTTTGCCAAAGATTATACATTATACATTTGTATACTATTATATTTTATATCACTCTTTGGGCTTCAGCGTAACGCCTAGTTTAGTGGCCTTGATATCGCAGTTCGGAAGCTGTCTCTTCAGATTGGCGGCCACTGCCTCCATGTTCTTGACGAAAATCATGTCGAAGATCAGCAGTTGCCTCAGGTTGTGAAGCTCCCCGATGGCGGCCAGTCCGGAATCGGTGATGTTGTAGCAGCCGGAAACCTGCAATCGTTCCAGAGAGCTGTCGATATGATGCAGTCCCTCCAGACCGTCGTTCTCCAAGTGCTTGCAATTGTGGAAAATGACCGTGTCGATGCTCTTGCAGCCCTTTAAATGCTCCAGGCCTATTTTCATGATCGACGAATTGGAGGCGTCCACTACCTTGAGGCAAAACTGAGTATTTTCCCCGGGCAGGGAGTTGTAATCCTTCCAAAGCTTTGTGGGATTCTCCACGAATCGCACTCCGCCTCCGTTTTTCACAACCCACTCGGCACATAGACGGTTTGCACCCACTTTGGCCAGCCGCTCCGCGTCCACCTGGTTGAAGGCGACGGCCACATAGCCCCAAATTCCTCGCTGATCCTTTGCGTCCCTTGTGAGCAGTTGTTGCGATATCCTGGGGAGCTTATTCAATAACAACATTTTCGGTGACTAACGGAACAGCTGCGCCGTCCGTCGTTGTATAGCACTGTTTGGGGATGCCACTTTGTCAATTTGAAAAGTTTTAAAACGTTTTTGAATTTAAACTTCATTTTGATTTACTTTGTATTTGAATCTTATTCTATTTGACAATTATTTTATGGTCTACTTTTTAAAGGAAACTATTATTTATTAGTTGGAAGGATAAATATAATTTATTTATCCAATTAAAAACCGTTAAGAAAACGAGTATTTTACAGAACTTTTTACATTAAACTATTATCATAAATCTAGTTGTAGGTCTTTAATTTTAGTAATGAAATTGCAATCAATTTCAAAAAAAGCTTATTAGTTGTTTATTTTTTATTTTAACCAAATATCTGTTTATTTATGATTATTTAGTACATTGGTATATTTTAGGCCCTTTTCAGCCGAGGTGTTTACAACGCTCGACTCAACGGTCACTCTGCGTTCAATTTTCACAGCCGTCGCAGGTCGGACGTGCGCGTTGTTGCTGCAATCAATTAATTGAAAACAAGAACGGTGTGAATAACTTTGTTAAATGGTCGAAATCACAGCGTGCTCCGTTGCACAGTTAATTCGAATCGGTTTCAGTGGGCCAGTCGCGAGTGCTGCTGGGAAATCCACAAAGTTCTAGCGCGCGAGAGAGAGATAGCGACAGCGTGTGTGTGGAGCATAAAATCTCGGCAATAACAAAAAACATACATATGCTTGTGGTTTCGATTGAAACGAAAACGAGCCTTTGTTAAAAGCGCCCGATAAGTGAACAAATCGCGGGTTTAGAAAACAAAACTGAGGAGGCAGCAGACAAAATAGCAACAAATACCCCCCGCCCCCGCGAAAATCACGCATTACGTGCACTGCACTGTTGTTGTCAATGAGCGCACGGCTGTGTGTGTGTGAGCTTGCCGCCACCGCAATTGAGGAAAAATTCACCCATACCAAGGCGGCAAATAAAAATAATCTCTGCTTGTGTGCGTACGCGTGTCCGTGAGAGCAGTGACGTCGACTAGAATCGAACGTGTTAAAGTGACGAATAAACAACAAGCGGGAATCGGAAAAGGCATCGGGAATCATCATCATCTCATCACAACAGATAGACAAACAGAACAGACAGCCAAACATTTGTACATTTCCTTCGCACATATGCATTTGAATGTGTTGTATACACGACGAATGTACGTAATAGTTTGCCGCCGCAGACATTAAGGCTCTCTATTCTGTCTCTGTCTCGGTCTTTTTCGCCCTCCCCGTCTCGCTCACGCCCGTTGTTTACACATAACGCCCACCTTCGCCGCCCACTCTGAATAGGTGAGTAAATGCCGCATTCCGCCGCCTAATTAAGTTACAAATTGACTGTTGCCAAATTGTAGTTTCGGTTCTCCATGCGGGTTCTGTTTTTATTGGATTATCATTTCAGTTTACAAAATAAATATAACGATTTTCCTAATGTGGATGTTATTCCTAAAGCTTTCATATACGAACTAAAAATTATAAAGATTTTATCTTAACTTTTTTAGAAAATAATTAAAATCAGAATTATTCTCTATTTTATAATTAATTATAGAAATAATTGAGCATTTCTCTGTATAATTTTAAAAGACAAAAAATGATAAAACATTTATTAGTTAAATTTTTTGTTAAATAACTAAATTAAAGTTCCAATAATCTAAAATAACCTTAAATCTTATCCATATAAACATTTTTAGGCTTTAGATTTGGTTCCAATCTTAAAATGATCTTAAATCTTATCCATATAAACATCTTTAGGCTTTAGATTTTATAAGAGAACTCGGAGAATACCAGGTCCGATATTTCAAGAAGTCTTCAGACTACAACTCTATATCTGTTTCTATTCTAAACTCCTGAGGCACCCAGCGGGGCCTATGCAAAAGATGAATGATATACAGCGCGGCCATGTTAGATGATAAATGGCGCGCTATATTAAATGATTTATCTCGCTGGCTCCCCCGAAGCCCTCGCTTGAGTTCATTGAGCCCCCAGATCTCCTGCCTCCTCCTCCGCCCCCTCGAATGCTAATCTGCGGTATCTCGCATTCAGATTTGTGGCGTAGATTTGACTCGTAGGTAAATGGTAAATGCTAAATGGCTGGCAGCGCAGCACACGCGCCTACAAAGCCACAGAGATCGCAACAAAAGAACTCAGACAATTTAAGACTGGAAACGGAGAACTAAATTCCATCAATCAATTTGAAAACCTTAAGAATACTGAAGTCCGTCAGGAAACGATGTGATCTTCGTCTAATTTTTGATTTAATGAAAGTATCTTAGAAAGCTTGGTAGGAAGGAAAAGCAATATAATAAAATGGGGTTTAATTTCAATTAAATATGAACACCCACTGTTATCCAGAGGTTTTACTAGCTCGAGTATCTTGCAGATATCCCCCAAGTCGGTATTTTGTTTTTATCCACAACTATTTCCCATGCTGAGTCAACTGGCATTTCCTCAATAACACAGTTTGAAGCTTGATTTTTATTCCATTCGAATTTGTATGTTAGTTTTTCGCTGGAACTAATCGTGGAATCGTAATTTCATTTCCACTGGCTATAATAACTTTCCAGCAGCAATTTCTAAAAAATGTTTTTACATTCTACTTTATTGTTTTCGCTCTGTGCCAGTTATTCCTCGCCCAGTTGGCTTGCTATTGCTATTGAATTGTTGCCGTTTTTTAGATTCCGCTTTTTCCGTTTTCTAATTAGTTATAATTACACTTAATGCAATTTAGTTATGAGGTTCTGTTTCTGTGCCCACATTCGTGAGCTCCTCAGATGGCTGTTCGTGCCGTTTCCATTTTTGCATTTATACATTTTAACATTGATGGGGGATTTTATGATTAGTGCAACTAGTTCGTGTTGTGTTGCATCTGACTGGCCGGGTCTGGTTCTGTGCTTTCTGTTACAAGGGCCGTCTAAAGTCATCGGGAGGAGGAAGCCCCGAACTCGATTGGGCACACAAAAGCCCCATCGGACACTAGGCGTTGATGCAATTTGTATTTGTAAGATTTTACTCGGCCCGATAAGTGAAGTGAGTTCCCCAACTCATTGGCCCTAGGTTCTATTGCCCCTTGAGAGAGAGGAAATATCGAGATTATTTGGTCATAAGGCGTTCCTCCTCGTTTTTGCACTAATGGTTCTTCAGATAACTTCATCCTACTTTGCATATTGCTGTTACAAATATTTTGAATAGTGAACTGGGAAGGGTAATTCTTTGTTAATATATTTTTATGGTAAGGTTTACTTTGAGTACTTTTATAGTAGCTTAAAAAATGTACCAAAGCGTTTAAAAAAATCTATTTTTACAATACAATTTACTGTATGTATTTGTACGTAAAAAGACGATCTTGTATAAAGTCTTAAGATTTTCTAAGAACTTCAAACCCCTTTGAAGATTTATAGCATATGAGCTCTCCTTAATTCGTTTTTACTTTGAAGTGCACACCAAGAACATGGCAATATCATAAGAAACAAGTAGCAGAAGGCAAAATGTGGATCCAAAGCTTAGATTCTGTACCTGAGCATAATATATTATTAAGAAGCACCCGAGCAAAAGAGCGAGGTGTGAATTCTAGCTAAATTCAGTATCACCTCCGCATCATATGCATATGAGCTGCAATTTCAGCCGTAGATTATATCAGGTGGTCTCATAAATAAATGCATTTAATGCTCCGTTGGGTCGCAGGGAATGGGGTTCCTAAGTTGGGTTGGGTTTGGATGGGTTGGTGTTGGCCTGGCCCTGGGGAACTGCAATTCCCGCAGATGGCAAACCGAACCGAAAGACTTGACCATGGCATGTCGCTTGTCTCACGAAAGCATCTTGCAATGATGGAGTCGCCTCGGTGGAGGAAGTGGAAGCTACACCGGCCAGCTCCTCATCATTAGCAATTTGAAATGCACTCGAAGTGTGGAGCGAGATCGGAGATGCCGGGGCTGCGAGTGTATCCAATTATTTCAGCATTTTATGGCGTAAATTTCCTTAAACCCAAACCATTTTTCAACTGAAACGAATCGCGGGGAGAAGAAGAAACCCAGGAAAGAATAAGAATTCTGGCAGAATCCCCAGAAAGGAGAGGAGCAAAGCTCCACGGCAGCTACAAATCTTAAAAAGGCATCAAGATTATTGCACAGAAAAATTCTTTTCTTCACACCTCGACCAGACAGCCCAACGTCGTCGTCTTCGCTCCTCAAAGGTCTGGCACGGAAAAAAAATAAAAAGAAATAAAAAATGGACAGAATAAGAAACTCAAAGAATTAAATGCGACTTCAAAGAAAGGTAAAACGGCAACAACAACAGCAAGAGCAGCAAGCGGAGCACGGACAAGAAATATGGTCAAAACGAAGCTACGAGGGCCAACACCACCGACAATGGACATCATGTGCAACAACAATAAAAACCAATTTAAGCCGACGACCAAGCGAGCCGCTTGAAGTGTGTGGCAGGAGTGTGGGGCATACACCATGGAGTACAGAGAGAATAACTATTGTAATTTTGATGTGAGGGATATGAATTTTGGTATGCGAGGTGCAATTAAAACAACTTGGTCTGTCTTAAAAGCAGAATTAAATAGCACTAAAGACAGTTGAGATCTGACAGTTTGAGAGCAAAATTATAATAGCAATATTTGTATATTTCACATGATTTGATCAGGTTTCAATGCTACAGCATGCTTTTATTTTGTTATGCAATTTGTATGTAGTTTTCCTCAGTGCACATATAGTGTGGCTTGAGGAGGATTCCTCGTGGGCTTACCTTCTTGTCGGCTTTCGTTTAACTGACGTCCCAAACACCAGAGGAACGGAGCAACAACAACCAAGGCAACGCATACACACAATCAGTTTCAGAAATCAGATTCGGTTCGAAGTTGAATAGTTTTGCTGCTCGGAATTATGTTTGTACGTATGTCTTGTATCTACGTGCATGCGGGGTATCTTTGTCGCTGCCCCGATCTATGCTGGCTGGCATTATCTGTTTTTGTCTGTGCGTTTGTGTGTGCTACGTGCCCAGCTGTAACTTTGAATTAGGGATTTCTCCATGGGTTTTTGGCCTGACTTGGATCACTTTTCAGAGAAGGGAAAAATAAA